AGGGTCGAGAGGATCGTCAGGGAGGTGAAGAGGAAGAAGGGCCTCTCGGAGGTGCCTGAGAGGGACAAGAAGATTGCGGCACTGATGATTGCCAAGCACCAGGAGGCCAACATCCTGCGGGAGCAGCGGCAGGCAGCCCATCTTCAGTGGGACAGCCAGCGGCGCCTGGCTGAGCAGCGTAAGGAGCAGGAGGAGAAGGAGAAGCAGAGGGCCCTCCTGCAGGGTCAGCGGATGTGGGAGAGCCAGGTGGAGAAGCGTCGTGGGAGGCTGTACCAGGAGCAGGAGGAAGCTGCCCTGCTGAAGCAGAGGCAGCACCTCATGTGTGAGGAGAGGTGGCGGGAGCAAGCAGAGAAGCAGGAGCGGCTGCGGAGGGAGAGGCTGGAGAGGGCCATCCAGGAGGACAAGCAGAAGAAGCTCCATCAAGAGCTCAACCTGAAGGCAAAGGAGGAGGTCAAGAAGGAACACCAGGAGCGAGAGGAGCAGCTCCTGCAAGAGAAGCTGTCCACAGCTGCACAGAAGAGGCTGAAGAAGGAGGTGCAGCTGCAGAAGGAGAAGAGACTGTTCAACCAAGCAGAGAAGCTGAAGCACGAGGCCTTGCTCAAGGAATTGGCCAAGCAAGAGGCAGAAGAGAAGGAAATGCTGAAGGCCTCCCTGAAGATGAGTTTGACGAAGGCTCAGGAGAACTATGAGCAGCTAGTGGAGAAGAGAAACCAGGAGCTGAGGGAGAAGGCCAGGCGTGAGGACATGCAAATCCAGAGAGCTAAACTGGCAGCAGAGAAGAAGGAAAGAGAGCAGAAGGAGCACTTGGAGGCACTGGCTAGAGAGACAGAGAGAAAGCTCCAGCATGCTGCCCAGGTGGCTGAAGAGGCCGTTCAAGAAAAAGCTCGCAAGGTAGTCTTGAGTCGTCTGGAGAAGGAAAAAGTGCAGAAGATGAACAAACAAAAGGTGGAACAGTATGAAGACTTACGACGCAGAGAAATTCTCCTCTCTATAGAGAGGAAGCTGGAGAGAAGCGAGCAGATCTTCAAGGAGAAGAAGACTGTCTTAGAAAATGCCAGATCTGTCGCTCGGGCATCCTTCCACGTGCGGGAAAAAGTACGGGAGGAAACGAACATGCGCACCTTTGACAAGATGGCCTTTGAAGCAGAACTGCATGCTCACCTTAACAAGAAATGAAAGATCTTGTCATGGATGAGTGGGAGTACACCACCGGTTGTCCATCCTAATGCATCAGAAAGCTCCTCCACATGAACATTTGAAAAACAACAACAATCAACATCCACCCTAATTTCTTATTCTGGGGGAGCAGGGTACCGCACAAAATTGTGGCAGCTATTTCACGTACTGTTTTAAATACATTTTTTGTTCTGGGTGTGTTTTAAGGACTGACCTCAGTCATCTTTCCAGAGGAGAAGCAAGTTTTTGTGTCCTCCACCCCACAAGCACACACAATTTTTCAGAAAGGGCTGCAGAAGAAGTCTGCTTGAAGCCTGTGAGTACTGATGGGTTGTTTACACCGGAGATGACTACAGCTGCATTCTTTTCAGTTTGCAATGCAGGCAACAGAGGCAATTAACTATTAGAGCCTACTAAGTAAAAACCAAAACCATCTGAGCTGATTCTGCCTTGAGTGACAGGCAGTTTGGTTTAAGTTATGGGACTGCATTTTCAAAGCTGCTGCACTTCCATGCTGAAGATGAGGAAAGCTGGAGTACAGAATTCCATATGCCCCGGGTGCCCCTTGCCCGCTGCTGGTACCAAGTTAGAGAAAGCACAGATCAAGGCCATGTAAGTAGACATGATCAGAGCTGGGCAGAAGCTGTTAGTGCTCACAAACACAGTTTCATTTTTGCTATTTGTAATTGTTGCCCCTCCCAAGTATCCCCACCTCTCCTTCTCCTTTTCAAGTTTCTCTTGCAAACATCTGTAGAATTTCTTCTTTTCTTTTGGAAGAAGGGGAGAAGGAGAGAAAAATGTGGGTGAGTCACAAACTGATGGGCACCCACATAGCACACTTGTTCATTGTGATATAAAAATGAGTGAACCTGTGAAATCTGGACTTAGGGGGAAATATGGGGATCAATTGTAAATGGAAATCTGTGATTGCATAGATTGCATAGAGAAATCACCCTTGGGAATTCTTAAAATTCAAGGAGACTCTCAGCCCCTTAGCTAGTTGGGCCCGCCTTGAGCAAGATGTTGGACCAAATGTCCTTCAGAGTTCCTTTCCAGCTTAATTGTTCTATGAGCTGCATACGAGACATTCACCCAGCTCTTATCATCGTCTACTGAGCAGAGGAGCATTTCTCTGTCCACTGGTGCTAACAGTTGATTTCTCATATAGGGCACAAGAAAGACTAGATGCAGAAAATGAGGTACATTACAGATTCTTTTAGATGAGGATCATGCCTTTTTTATAACTCTTAACTCAATACTGTTTAGAGGAACTGAGTCCTGCCATTAAATGCACTGGAAATGTGAAAAGCCTACCTATACCCCCTGCACAGTGTTCAAGTAAGACAGTGTTCTGCTGCAGGTTTCCACATTTACTCTCTGTTGGGTTGGAGTTATAAGCACAAATTCAAAGCAGGCACTTTCTGCTGGTTTTTTCTGGCTGCTGACAGCATCAGCTCTCTGTTCCACCATCCATGACGCCATGCTGGGTTGCTCTGGTGATGGCAGCCAGACCTGGAACATGGAGGAGAAGCAGCAAGAACAGACAGGATCTTGTTTCCTTATGGATGTCTCTTACATACCACACAGTAGAAGAGAAAACAAGGAGAAGGTTGACATGTGGAACAGACACGCAATCCTGCACGCATAGATTGCTTACCAGAATTTCCCAGAAGATGACAGCAGGTCAAAACCCTCTTAGAAGACTTTAAGGAAGGTGTTAAATGAACAGCAGCAACAACAATAGACCAAGCACACCCTGGTGCCCTGCAAGGCTGGAGACATTATACGAACAGTGTTGAAAATGGAGCAAGTAGGGATTTATTTTTTTTTATTTTAAAGGAACTTGCTCTTCTTTGAATCATGGTACAATTGAAGGTGTTAAGAGCAGGCAGCATGAAAGTAGGAATTAGGGCTCCTGAGCGATGTTTGCTATGTCAGCCATTGGCTCACTGTGTAACACCAGGCAAGTCCTCAGGGGCTGGGCTTGCCCCTATTAATATAAATGGAAGCAGAGTTGGGCTCTTGGGGTTGCTGGGACTTACAGGAAATAGTAACACTTGGCTTGGCAAAGCACTTCAAAGACTTTGGATGAATGATGCTAACAAAGCACAAAGATTGATTTATTTATTTATTTATTTATTTATTTATTTATTTATTTATTTGAGTGGTTACTAAAGTAAAACATCCCTTGGTGAAAAGCACTAATTAACACCAAAATCTGGTAGCTGTGGAAAGATAGCTGCATTACTGTTCCCAGCAAGCAGTCTGTCCCCTGACCCTCGTCCTCAAAGCAGCAGTTTGAACAGTGAAAAATTCTGCTGTAACACTGGACTAGATCCTTGAACAAAAACAGTCTTCTCCACATGTTGTCCACATTGCAGTGATCTGTGTGTGCCCTTGTAGCTGCAAAGACCTAGAAAAGAGTTGGCCAGTGGCCCAAATCTAGCCAGCACTAAATTTCCCTTGCTCCCTGGCAGCACTAGAGTTGGGATAAAACCTGCAGTGACTCCAGCACAGCCCGTGTTTCATCTGGTTAGAAGCCTGCCAGCACAGATGTGAGAGCCCCTGCTTTCCTGTGTCATTACACTGTGGTTGAAATTCACTGCTTGTTCCATTTAGAAGGAAAATAGGGAAAGCTGGGAAACAGTGGAAAGAAGGCAAAATGTGGTGGGCAAATGAGCAGACAGCCTCTAATTGGAACAGCTTTTTTTCCGTAAAGGTCTACTGCAATCTACCTGAAGACTTTGTCCAAATCTCCCTCTGACAGGGCATTTCCAGTGCAGACTGAGAACATTCTGTATCCTAGGAGACATGTCTTGGCCACTGACTGTAATTACACCTAGGGTCCATCTCCTGCTGCTGACTGAGTTTGACACCTTGGGGCTACAGCCGAACTAATCAAAACAAACCTACATGATGGTAATTGGATTGGCAAACTACTGTTCCTATACTGTGCAGTGTACAGTTTGAGTTTTGAATGTGCAGTCTAAGAAAAAATATTTTTTTTCAAAAGACATTAATCTGTGTATGGATATTTTTTATTTGTCTACTGGTTTCAGTCCAAAGTCCATGAAATTTGCTGGAGTTCATGAGTTTAAAATTGCAGCATGGAAAATTTAAGTCAGCAAGTTGGGTGGAGGCGTGAGAGGTATTTCTTGGGTCTGCTTATACTTCCATTTATTTGAGGAGTTTTACTGCTGGATTTCTGTAGGAACAGAAATTAAATCCTGGGACACATGTAAAAAGTATATGGCCCTTTTAGATGAGGATTAATTGGTGGTTTTGCTATTGAGCTGCAGGCTAGGGAGAACTAAAAGCAAGCAACATGTTATCTAACAGCTCAGAAGTAGATTGTGGCTTACTTAGAGCAGAGAAGCAGCTGATACCATTTGTTTAGGTCCGGCAGAAAGCTAACTTAGTTTGGTCCTCTCCTGGGATTAGAAAACACATTTTAGGCTATCGCTGTATTATAATCATAAGGTTATAACAAAGACTTTGCTTCTAGGCCATTTGCCTGCATGCCACATAATGACCACTAAGCTTTGAAATACCTGCACTTTAAAAGCAACAACAAAAGGACAATTACCAGGAAACTTCTGTGACTGGTAACACATCTTAGATCCAGCTATCTTCAAATTCCTGGGTTTCAGTTCCTAAATTCTTGGTTTTCAATTCCTAAGCAGTTGGGAGTCTAGCTGTAGTTTCACATTGGATCCCGTAGATTTAACGAGATCACCCCAAATCTGAAGCTAGTGCCACTAAACATTCAGTTCTAATGCCAAGCACTGACACGTGGATGCAGCTCTAACACAACTTGAAAACCACTGCACTGCTTACTGCTGCTTATTGACTAGGACTACTGCTTGAAGCTGACCTACTAGAAACCACTTAGAATGTTTACAGTTTTTCCGAAGTTGAGATCTTAAAGCACGGGGGAGAAGAAAGACTCCAATATCATTTAAATGTTCTAAAAAGTATAACAGGACCAAGTCCTTGGATTCTTTTCAGGCAAAACTCCTATCGTTTTATACTAATGTTTTGTAATGAGACAACATGATCAAGCATTCTGTATCAGAATTCTATATCAGAAATCAGTATCAGAAAAGAGGAGTCTGTCACGCTGATGACTACAGCAGAATAGGCACGTAATTTCAGAGGCCTCAGAACAGTGAAGTCTGGTTTCCTAGGGCACCTGCTCTGTGAGTCTCACTTTAGTGAAACCGGGGCTGCAGGATGAATTCATCTTGTATTACACATCAGAGAACTCACACGTGAGGGAGAAGCATTGGCTAAAGAGCAGTTTCTTTTGCCTGAGCTCTGGATGAGTTTTGAAACACAATGGAGCGCATTTTGCATGTTCACAAACTGTCCTGGTTTTGTGGATTGTCTAGTTTTTAACTGCATCTGGGCTAAAACCAGAGCCTTTCAGTGGCATAGAGAGTGCCAACAGTCTCATCTGTATTCTTCCTCTTCACACAAAATTCATCACTAAAACATGATCTCTCTGTCAAGGTTGAATTTTGCAGATACGTTCAAAAGCTATTAGGAGAAGCAGCTGCACCATCACTAGTTAATATTTTACAAGGTAATTTTTAAGGCAGTTTATAATAAGTTCTTTCACCACATACATAAGAGGGGTGTGAGGATTGGATTTCTTGCCTTGGTTACCTACGGTGTTTCTCTTATGATGGTTATGGAGCTCCAGGCTCATTCTGTGCTAAAATTTCTCTTGATGCCTGGGGAATTCTGTTCATTAGACAAATGCTGAATATGCAGTGCACACAGGTTTGGAAGGGGACTTAGTTTGGTGTGCATGTCTTTATTAAGCCAAGCCTGGACAGGGAGACATGGGAAACACAAAATTTGCAATACAAAGTCCATCAGCCACTAGTTTTCCAAAAGTTCAGCCAAGAACAGCTCCAGAGCCACCCCTGCTAGCTCTCATCAGGGAAGTGACACCCTTTGCTCTCTTACTGACCTCAGAGAGAGCCAGGCTGATCATATCCTACCTGAGGACAGCGTCTCATCACTTCACTTGTTAGATTAAAGAAAGATTTGCTTTCAGCTGTGGATATTCTTCCTCTGCTGGTAAAGGCAAAACTGTAGTAGTTGAAATGCCATTTTGAAAGTGGTTTGTTGTTTTGGTTTTAGTTTTGGTTTTTGTTGTTGTTGTTGTTGGGGTTTTTTGTTTGTTTTTGTTTTGTTGGGAGTTTTGTTTTGTTTTAAAGCAGATGCAGGGAGATGTAAGGATGAGACACAAAGCTAGTTAGAGGCAGCACATTAGAGATGATGACTGTGACTGTCTTCGCACAAAGTTCTACTTTGCGGACCTGGAACTGTGCTGTTGTTTAGTACGGCAGCAGCCACATCCAGGAGAGCAGAGGTGCTCTGGGAGGTGCTTTGTGATTTCTTCACAGATCACACAGTATCCCTTCAAAGCATGCAAATGTAAACTCTAATGCTTTGCTGAGTCAAGGTCCTAGGGAATTTAGTTCGTTGGGACTGGACTTAGCTTTCATAGTTGTAAAAGAAGGCTGAAGAAGAGGAAGACACTGGTTTAGCCCAGTCCCTCTGGAAATCAGCCCCGTGACATTTACTTTGCAGTGCAGTACAGGCATATTCTAGTGTGAGCCAATGGAGCCCTAATACAATCACTTTGAGAGTGCAGCCCCACAAGTCTTTGGCAAGCAAGTGGCACCCCTGTAAAGAGCCAGTACTGAGACCTGGTAAGAAAATCATAATGCTTCTGCTTCTAGGCCAGAGGCAGCTCTGCCCTTCTATTTGGTGAGATATTATTAGGTCATGTTTTGAAGAGAAAACACTGGGAAGAAGAAAAAAATGCAAAACTCTTCCACACGAGACACCTGGAAACACATTCTCTATTTATGGAGAGCAACTAGCACTCTGGGGATGCCAGTCTTCAGAGCCTTCATAATGGAATAGGCCCCACATCCCACATACCTCTTAAAGCTATGGCATGAAAAAAATTAAGTTCTAGGTCTGACTTCTTTGTCCTTAGACTATTCTTTGAGCATGGCTCTTTACTGGAGGCTCATGAGCTGTTACTGTAAGGTTCTAGTCTGAAAAGACCCAAGTCATTCTCTGGCAACTTTGCACTCATCTCCTAAGTCCCTGCCATTCAGCAAGAAATTCTCTGCATTACAGAACCACTCTGGCAGTAAGAATTATTCTGTGTTACAAAACAAAACTGCCAGTGCTATTTTGTTCTTATGTGATTTTCACAGCTCCCCGCATCTAATCTCAGGACCTGGCTGTGAGGTAAACTAGTTATCGCCCCCAGCCTAAGTACAAGCAAACTGAAGCAGAAAGAATTGATGTGACTTGCCCTGGGCCATGCTGGCCACCCCGATCTAGCTGGAGCTCTCATTCAAGTCCTCTCTAATCCCCATGCAGCCCTCTAATTAACATCTCCTGGTTGCAATGGAAGGATATGCCTGTGCCCCTGCCGTGACAGCTCCTCTGGCTCCTGTTTTGCAGCTGGTGCTTCATGGAGGATGAAGGTTTTAAGCCACCAGCTCCCACTCCTGGGCATTGCCCCCAAAACTTGAAACAGTTTTAAATGGGGGGCCTGAAGATGAGATAGGGCTACACTGGGAGCCTGTGACAGAGGCACAGTGAGAAGAAGATATGTTAGCTAAAATGGGCAGGAACTACAGATGGAAATGTTAAATGAAAGAGTAATCATGGACTGAGTATCCTTATACCATCCTGGCTAGCTAGAATCACTTATATGTCTAAGTATGACAGCATGAAATAGCACTTTCTTTCAGCACATTAAACTTACAGGGCCCAGTTCATCCCATTAGTTACCTCTCTAGGGCCAGCAGAGTTGTTCCAGGAATGAATGCAACCTTTTATTATTTATGCAAATCACAGTGGCTTGGGATATCTTATGCTTCCAAGAACTTGGTGGAAATTTCCCCCTGCCTGAACAGTACCCAGGCAATGGGATGGGAGGGTCACATAACAGTTGATATTTTTAGACTGGGTGACAAATTTGTCAATACCCTGGTGCTGGACGCTGTGTTCCTGGGTGTTTACAAAGCAATGTCTGCTTTAGCAGCTCAGTGCAGCTGAGGGAAAGAGCAGCTGGCACAGAAGTATCTTGTCAGACAGCAAGCTAAACAGTAGGGAGTGAGAGATTTGGCTCTGTGTCTGTTGGGTGCTATGGGAATGTTTTGGTTTGTAAGAGGGTGATGGGATAATTTCTTCTCTTTTTTAATCACCTCCAAAATAGGCTGTGCTATTTTTGACAATTATTTAATGATTTATAAGAGATGGGAAAATAAATGAGGAAGGGAGCTCAAAACACAAATGTGTAGGTAAAGCAGAAAGACATTTTCCTTTCCCTCCTTAAAAAAAACCTGTGAGAATTGTGCCAGCAGGTGAGAGTTTTGTTAAGTGCCAAGTTGCATGCAATTTCTTAGACCCTAGGAGGGGGGGCACTCTGTTCACAAGCTTTTCTACCTGTGCACCTGTCTCCTGTACATGCTGACAAAACAGGCTTTATGTTTACCTCCCAGTAACAGTTATTTCTTCGAATTTCAAGGAATAGATGAGATCCACGAACAGAAAGAAACTAATTTCACTATAGAGGGACCACTGAACAGCCATCCTGGGTGGACTCACTCCACATCTGACATGAACCCTGATGGCAGAGTGATAGTTTGCTCTCATCAAATTTCAGCAACCCTCAGCCAGGCACTGTCTAGGAGCCTCTGCACCATTTTCAGCTCCCACCTGATTCAAGCTGTCCTTGTTTCCTAGCCAGTTTAATCCTGAGCTCCTGCTCCCATTGCCTCTAGCAAGGTACCTGGGGAGCTGACCACAGGGTGCAGCCAAGTCTCCACTTATCTGTAGAGGCTTCAACCAAACTAATTTGCCTTGCTCTTCCTTAATCTGAGGCATGTCTGTGCGTGAGCAACTACAGGAACTGTCTGAGTCTGGGCTTTGAGTAGTGCAGATCGAACATCTAGAGAAGGACTTGGGTGTTGCAGCATAGCAAAGGGATGCTACTGTTTTATTTTTGATTATCAATACCACTTCTAATTTACACTTCAGACAGTGTACCATGAACAGGTCGAGCACTAGCAGCCCCAGAAGAAGTGCTTAAGTGTTGCCCTCCACACTTAGACCAGTGCTTGTCATGGGAAGCAGTGTCCCTTCTTACATGAGAGAGAAGCTTTCCTTTCTGCAATCATCATCATATCATGCACAGGTGCTTTGGGGACAGGCTGGCATCCTAAGATACATCCATCCTATCACCACCATCACCAGCTTCTCCTTATGACCTGAATTCTACCAGTAAATTAATAATTAGCTTATATAGGCCTGCATGACCTGTCATGACAGGAATTTTAGATATAATGCAACATCTGAGTCATGGCATTGCTTTTTCTGCTATTAGTTTCACCTGCCGCTGCTCAGCAGGAAGTAAAGCAAGGGAGGATTGTTTCAGTAAACCAGAGGTGACCTGCCTGCTTTCAGAAAATCTAGGCAGGTAGGCAAGCTGAGGGCTTCAGGGCTTTATGTAACACTAGAGCACCTGACATCTTAGGTTAGCTGTAGGTACACTACGTATCACTTGCATGGTAGCTGTCACTCCAGCTTACGTCTCTTGGATGCTGTGAGTCCTAATATCTTCCAGGCAGAAGGCACTCTGTCTTGTAACAGAAGGTTTCTCTGATTCCTACAGTATTTCAAAGAACCTGCATGTATCTGTTTGCAGAATCAGATATTTCAATACATTTTATTTATGGTTCCATCAAAAAATTGTAGAAGTAGAGATTCCTGAAGGCAATGATGTTCATACCCAGAGCTACTGTACTCTCTGAGTGTCTCTGACCACACTACACTGTGCTACTCTAGAGATTTCTTACAGCTCCTGCAGTCTCAGGGAACCTGCAGATCCCTCCCTGCAAAGACACTGTACTATAATGCAGATGTCACGTGATTCAGTCGCAGGCTGCAAGTCCCCAAATGCACAGAAATTTACTGTAAGCTACCAGGGGAATTTCTGCAGAGTCTCCTGGAATCCATAGGGGCCATTCCAGTCTACCCTGATGCCACTGCTGTATAAACTCTCATGCTGTACAGTACCTGCTAACCTAATAATACTGTCTGAGTCCTCTCCATGACAACACACCGCAATGTTCTCAGGTACAGGGAGGCATCCTGTGATTAGGCAAGGCTGGCCAGGGAATCTGTGTATCAGATGTATAGAGTATAATTTAAACATAAGTATTTTCTATGGGGAAGTTGGAGGCATAAATGCAAAGGGGCAGAATTACTCTGCAGAGGAAAGGAAATAATTGCTGAATGTGAACGAGAAGAAAGAAATTACAAAGTGAGACCTTTAAATAACCTTAAAATCATAGGAGATCTGGTTTACAGGTTTCATGTAACAGATGTACATGACCAAACAGCTTCATACATTTTGGATACCCTCAGGGAATGAAGAATGGTGGGAAGTATTGAGGACCTCAGGTAAGAAAGGAACGGTGTTTTCCAACATGGGTTGGAGTTGGCTGGAGTGGAGAATTGTAGAAAAGCTGTTCAAGACTACGTTCCAACTATGATAGCATTACAGCAAAGAAATATAGTCCAGTTCTCTTTAGGGAACTGGATTGATGGCTGGCAGTGTTGCACAAAGACCAGATCAATACAGGGCTTTATTTGTAAGCAACCATTTCAATTCAGACCACGGGATTGGCTTTATGCCTGTTAAGGTCAATTGCCCAAAGGCAAGCACATGGTGACAATTAGCACATTCCTGTGTCCAACAGAGGTGACACCACAGCCAGAGGAAAACTGAGGCTGGGGCTCTTTCCAAAGAGGGCAGAGACCTTCTGAAAGGGAAAAGCCAGATTAAAAGGGAATCATAATCCTTAACTATTCAGTGACAGCCTGGGAAGAAAGGATTGCTCAAAAAAAACCAAGGGTTCTCTCTCAAGGAAGATAGTGTTTTCACTGCTGGCAAGCTGGGTGTGGACTCATGTCCTCATCTTCTCCTTCTCTGGTAGGGGCAAGAGACAGAATCTCAGTGAAAAGAGGGGGACAGAATTCTGTCTGGGAGGATGAAACCTCCTGGGTCAGACCTTGTCAGTCAAAGCTCTCGCTGTGATTTCACTTGCAGACAGGACCCTAAATATCACTGGGAGACTGGGCTTCAACCCTCAACTTGTACAACCTGAACTTTGGTCATGTATCCATGCTCTGATGCATTTTCTGCACTTGCTTGGACATTAAGGCAGGTTTGTGGGGCTTTCCAGCATGCCAGTTGCATGCTTCACAGCCATATCCCAGCAGGAAAGGTTGTATCTCATCCTTCCCAGTTCAGATCAGGATTAGTTGCTTATTCAGAGTCCCTTCCCCCATTGACAGAGTGGAGGAAAAATAATTATGAACCTTCTTTTTATATATGCCAGCTAGCAGACAGGATCAATACACAAAGGGACTCCCTGATTTCTGACATGCCTAAGCCCTCAGACAACTGTGGGGTTTTTGCACCATATGGCTCTATCACTTGATAAAATGGTGCCCTAGATATGTTGGTTGTTTTCCAGTCTGCCACCAAATGAACTTAGGAGGATGGGCACATACAGCCACAGTTTCTGCAGTGTTGTCACCGTTTCTGAGGTCTCCAGACCTATCACAAGCTGCTGTATTTTTGCAACCCCTCCTGCCCCCCCTCCCTGGGACCAGCTACCGAAGGGATTAAGCACGGCATGCTATCTACTGCAGTGGCTTAATCACTAAGCAAAGCACTCATCCCCTGAGCACAAGGTCAGGGAATTATCTTCCTGACAGATAACGCAGCGACGGCTTGGAACAAAATGAGGAGCTGAACTGTCAAGCAAGCCCACAGGCCACAGCTTTATTGCTGTTTCCAGGGGGAGTAATGCTGCTAGGATGCTATGAAAGTGTAGTGTGACTTTTCCCACATGCCCCAAGATGCCTCTTGGTGGCAGAGAAAGATAAACACAGGAAAAATAGTACGCAGTTTTGTGTACACACATCCCCCTCCCATAAACACCTCCTATGCCAAACCTGTCCCTCTGAGAGCGAAAGGTTTTGATGGTTGGATGTATTTGGCACTGTGTACTAAAGAGACTGTGAATAACTAACTGAGCACTAAGACAGGACCAAAAGAGAAGTGACCTCGGGGGAAATATATTTATCTAGAAATATGGTTTCAGAAGGCATAGATCCTATGCTTCAGTTTCATCACAAGGTGGGAAGCCCCATTCCCACATAAGCCAGCCTGTGGGGGCAGAGCTGCAAGGCCTGCCAGTCCCACAGCTCACCACACAGCTGCCAGAGGGCAACTCAAGCCAGTGGGGGAAAAACTCTTCATTTGAGATTTAAATATAAAGAGTTCAGATCTGCTGCCACCATAAAAGAATGAGGAAAACTCCTGACACAGTGAGCTATGAAACCAGGTTCTTACTAGGAACTAGCACAGGGCATCAGCTCCAGCAGCTGTGCTGTGAGCACCTCAAGACCCTCTGCACGCAGCCAGGAAGAATGAGCCATGGTCTCTTGCCTGGTGGCCACTGGAGACCAGCCCCTTTTCATAGAAGGGGAAGGCATAAGCTGAGGTTACAGAAAAAGGCTGAGAAGGTGAGGCTCTCTACCCAAAGCTGGGCGATACAAACAGCTTACAGCTCTCCAGGTGACTCCTTCGCAGTCACATATATAGCAGTAACTGCAGAGGAGGAATCCTCATCTCTCCACTTTGGTCAAGAGGCCAGGTCCCTAAGACTGGTTGAAATTACACACATGGTAAATCTTTCTTGTTGTGCCTTTCAAAAGCAGCTAAGCAATCAAATGACATTTTGTCACCTTCCTCAGCGCATCTCGCCTTCTGCAGTCCAGCTGCTCCCTAAAGGCCATAGCTGTTATCATTTCTCCATGAAACATTCACACCTTGCCAAGTCTCTGTGCCTTACCTGGGGACAGCAAGGGCTATGCTGTAGCCAGAGGCGCTGCTCTCCTCCGTCTTTCCAGCAAGAGATGCTTCTGGCAGCATTGGTGTGGGATGTGAGAGAAGCAGCTCCCACCTCAAAGCACAAGATTAACCCAGAGCCTGCTTTGCAAATTCCACTGTTCTTCAGCTATAAATAAAAAATAAAATGTTTTTATTACTTTCAGGTTGAAACAGGAAGGGTCTGATCATCTTTGAGATCTCTGTCTCTATTAAGCTTGGTGGACAGAGGTCACAAGTGTGGGGAGATGGAAGACAGTGAGCAAATGCCAACACCTCATTTTCGTAGGAAAGCAAGCTAGATGGACAGGTTGTAGTTGAAGCTTTTTTGAGCTGAGTGCATTGCATCTGAAGAGTCCCCAAAGGACTCACTGAGGTTATGTGTGTGCTGTTCATTCTCCTGGGGCAGGGCACAGACATCAGTGCCCTTTCCATACACCCACCTCCAACCTAACAACTAAGGCATAGCAGAGACACAGGCAGGACTGGCAGGTGGAGTAAGGAACCTGCCTGCCCTGCAAGGGACCTGGATGAGTTAGCTACAAATAAAGGTGCTTTTTCCTCACCTCTTATCTCAGGCGAAGGAGACAAAACCCCACAGTACTCCATGTGGAAAACAGAACACTAATAAAGCTTTAGATTTTCCACTTGACTGCTGCTCTTCAACTCCCCTCCCTTTCCCACCTTAATTTCTGTTGCCTTTGGGGAAATCTGACATTACATATCTTTCTGTATTCTTAATTAGTAAAAAAAAAATCCCTCCCTCCATTAAGTGACTCTCAACCACAGAGACGGGGGAACATACATTGAGAACTGTTTGCCTTACTCTCTGCCAGGGGCCTCTCCCCAGTGTCCCTCCCATGGCCCTGTCCCTGCAGCTCCAGGATCTGCAGCCACCACAACCCAGGTTTCAGTGTCACTTTGTCCATAGCAGAAAGCTGGACAACGCCTTCACAAAAACCACATCTCTGCTCTAGAGCACATATAGGAAAGGACCCCTTTTAACCACATGGAAATTAAACACTGCTCTACCTGTCCTGTATGTGTTTCTCTCCACAGGAACGTGGCTGTGGGTTTGCACCCCAGAACTTGTTCTAGTCAAGCTATAGGCTGCTTCTCAAGAAGGCCATTGGCTACACAAGTTCACCAGGTCAACTGGGGGATGGCATGAGCTCCCTTCTTTTCCCACAGAGCTCTAGTTACTAATTTTCCCATTTCATTGAGCTTCACCTCCTCCCTACAACTAGATTTTATTCATGACATCTCTACATTTCCACTATGCTCCAGATGACAGCATGACCACCAGGAAGAGGATCATCTCTTACAGAGGATTCACCGGCCCTCAGCCTCCAAAGACTACAGCGACTAGCCTGGATAACAATTCATCTTCCCCAAAAAAATGATCCATATATATTTATATATTTGGAAAATGTATGTAATTAAATATAGTCCCTCCAGCAGTGAGTGTAAGGGCCTGGGCCAGCCACTGCTTTCCTTCTTTTCCCTATTAATAGTGCTAGCTCCATGAAAAATGGTGTGGCCTCAAGATTCTTCTTGCTATGTGAGGCAGGCTCCCTCCCACCAAGCACCCTGATTCCTCTCCTTCCCCTTGCTCTGGTGCTGCCAGCTGTTTGCCAGGTTTCCTTTGGGAACTCCTCTGCCTTCCAGCTCTCAGTGCACAGCCAAGCCATGGAGGCTTGCCAGCCCACCTGCTCCCCAGCCAGCTGCTGCTCCTGAATACCTCCTGGAGGGTCTGTGCCGGGGTGTGTGTAGGTCCAGGCAGCACTTAACACAGGTGGGGAAATCCCTAGTGAGTGCCAGAGATGACATGCTACAGATCTATTCCCAAGCCTTTTTCACCACAGATTAAGAATGACTCTAAAATTTACCCAGTGGTAAGTAGGTGAAATGTACTTGTCTGTGGCAGGCAGGAGAAGAGATTAGAGATTGTAGTGGTCTTTTCAATAAATCTCTGAAGATTAAGGAGAAAGCAGATTCCATAAAGTAAAATCTGATTTGCGTGACACAGCTGTCCATCCAAAGATGAGCATCCCACTGCTGCATAATTCACATTTCTCCACATGCACCCTCCAGAAAGTGAGCTGAAGTCATGGCTTTACTACTATAATTAGCATCCATAATGTGGCAGGCTGGGGTATCAGGGCTGTGGGGATGGCAAATAGCGACCCATTTCTCCTTAGAAAGGAGACAGAATTCATTTCATGTTACTTCAGGAACTCACACCTTACCACAGCAAATATCATATGGACAGGCAGAGAAAAAGCAGAATATAATCCTGTCTGTCCTACTGTCTCCTGACCTTATACAACACAGCCTCATTCTTCCATAATTCATGTCTCCTACTGCAGAAGCAGCCACAGCTTCTGATTCTCTGGCTATCCCATTACAGCAGTAGTAAGAGTGCAAGCCAATTATTCTGCAAAACAATTCAAATTAATTCAGTGCCTTAAACCAGCAAATCTTTCTTTACAACACTACCTCTTCTTTGCTGCACTGCAGCTACAAGAACTCAATAGTTCTGTCCCTCCATCTTCCCTATGAGCCCACTGTCTTGGACACACACCACTGCCTCCCAGGAAACAGTTTCTTGTTTTCTTTTCAGTGACACTGAGAGATACTTAAAACATCTCTGATGCATGTAGGGGTAATGTGTTTCCAGGGCTCTTAGGATACTTAGTTGCAGTTTGTTAAATCATGCGGATAGGAAAATGTTGAGGACATTTCTGGCACACCAGCTGTCTGACCTGACTTATTTACATGATGCTAGGAAATGCACTAGTTTTATAGTCCTTGTGATCTGAGACTGTTTATCCAGAGAAAGGCAGCAGCAAGGAAAAGGGCACGTCAGGCTCCCTATGTGCTGGCTTCAAAACCCGCGTCAGCCCCAAGCCTCGTGCTCCAGCCCCTGTTCTGGAACAGGCTGCTTGCCCCTTTCTCCAGCACTGCTCTGCACATTGGAGCTGTGTGCCTGGCCGTGATGGGAGCTGCCACCACCAGTGACCCTCATGCAGGGCAGCTGGAAAAACACTCAGCTGTCTGTCTTGAGCAGGTTGCTGAAAGACTTGGAAAAGCTGAGGCCACAGCTGACCTGGCTGCTGCAAGGTGGAGGCGCAGAAGTGTCCCTAATGGAGGATTAACAGGCTGTTGTCCTTACCAGGGCTGTTTGCCCACACATGGCTTTCTCTGTAAGTCTGGCAATGGCAGCTACAGTAGAGAGGCAGCCTTCAGGGTCACCTTTAATTACAAAGCACACCAAGCTTCATCTGAAGGTAAAACTTTCCAGTCTTCTCTCCACCTAAAAGGAAAAATCAGAAATTACTTTTGGACAAATTATTTTTGGGCAAATTATTTTGAGGGAAAACAAGAAAAATAAAAAGAAAAGCCTCATTATGAAATATTTCTTTAGATAGATGACATATGTTTGATATACACATTTCATATGCATCTTTAATGTATGTGTGTGTGTATCTATATATGCACTAGTGCACATATGTATGTATATGTATAGTGTGGAGAGGTGAGTTGGATTCACTGCTCATTAGCAGCCTGCAAGGGACACGTGATGCCAGCGACTCACTAAATACAGGCCCCCTGAGCCTCCCAGTGAAAGCTCAGACTGGTTTGGTGGACACACTGGTTCCTCAGCCTGCCTCTCGCCCCTGTGAAACACCCTGGGACAGGACCTGGCCCACAGACCCTGAAAGGGCCTACGCTGCAGGTCCGAGGTGAGGGGACACCAGGCAACACCTTGCCCAGCTCTGCACTCAAGGGCTTGGCCCAGAACCATGTGTGAGGTGGGCTGTGAAGCAGGGAAGGAAAGTGCCCGGTTAAGAGCCTGGGGTGTTCACTGCCCATCACTGTGCATTTTCTGCATGAAACGCTCAAGTCTGAAAGACTTTGGAGTAGGATGAATAATATTTCTGGACAGGAAACCAGTGTTACGAGAACACCATGAGCAACTCTGAGGCCATGTCTCACCTCCTTTGCTCTCTTCAAGGAGAGCAGCCCTGCCAGCTCCACCATGGCAGGGTGGGCTTCCCCTCTGTCTAGGGCAGAACTGTCCTCCTGTGGCTCCCAGGTGCCACAAAGCCCACCAGGGTGATGCTAATTTCTACCTCAGGGAGATACAGTTAGCCACAGTTAGCCAAAGAACAAACAGAAAGCTGAGGGAGCAGGCTGGAGGGGAAGGCAAGGAGAAGCCAGCTTGCCCCTTACAATCCTGCTCAAAGCTAGGGAGAGTTGGATAAGCAGGAAAGAGAGTACATTTGCTGTGTAAAGCAGTTTTTGTTTGCTAATTTTGTGACCCTTCTTAAGTACAGACAGGACTGAAACTCCTGGTATGGGGAATGCACCAGAACCAAGGCCCAGAAGCATATTTCAGGCCTGCAAACTCCTGTCCGGACAAGAAAAAGAAGATAATCAAGACACTTCATTCCTTGACAAGGTGCTATCCACAATAGTTATTCTTTTCTTCCCTACTAGGTCTGCTCTTTCTTTCCCATTCACCTGGAAAGCAACTGTTCTCTGTTGCCTTTCTCTCCTGTACTGGGAATGAAGCAGAGCTAAGGCGCAGCTCCCTTGACATCCAGCCTCTGGATCCTCCCTGCACTGCACTTAGGAGCCAACCTAGATGCTTTAAGCAGAGCACAATAGAAGTAGGGAATGAGGAGATGCTCTTCTCTCTTCGGGAAAAGAATGGGATAGCTCCCACGCCTGCTCCCAGCGACCTTCCGTAAGGCTGCCTTGTTAAACACCCTCCTTCCATTCTGCTGCTAAAAGCTCAGTGGCAGGGTCTGCCCTATTGTGCTGGAATCCAACAGGTCAGAGGCATTGGGAGGCTGAGATGCAGAAGCAGCTCTATCAGTGGCCACAGGGCTCTCTGCTCCTGGGTTGCAGCGCAGAGCTGCAAACTGAGCTCATGTCCACTTGCAAGGGGAAGCCAAAGAGTCCCATGATGTTGAGTCACTGTGAGTTTAGTTGAGAGGGGTGTCATGCACATCCTTTGGGGCATACAGGTCTGAGAGTGCTCCCTGGAGCCACAACCACCATGACTGCTTTTGAACAAGGCTGTAATGCAGCAGCAGTTGGTCACAGCTGGAGGGATTTTCTGTGTAGTGAGCAGCCATCAAATCTAATTCCATGCCAGCACCAGGAGCCAGCCACACACTAGAAGTGGACTTAGTGTGCACCTTCTCTTCTAGCTCCTTCAGCATCAGCCAAAGCAAGGGGCTAAAACATCTTCTCCAAACAAACTAATTTTCCCTTACTGCAGTCTGGCTCCAAGCTTCAAGTACAGTGGGTCTCACTACTCCCCCTCATCCAAGCTTGATACATGTGATAAGCACACTTATTTTACCCAGCTGTAGTACCTTTGAATGGATGAGAATTTTCTGTCCTCATTTTGGAGCCCACATTCCCCCTATACCGGGAATAAAAGACAGCTCTGCCTGCACATTCTTTCTCTTAATCTAAAATAAGTTGCACATCAGACCACACTTGACCAGTATTTGTGAAAGGGAGGAAACTACAAGAGAATTTTAAGAGAAGGAGCAGAAGCAGAAAGAAAACTGAGCGTCTGCTTTTACTGCTATTCCATGTATCCCTTCATGGGTTGCAGCATCTCTCTGACGTACTACATACTTGATCAGAGAGGGATCTAGAAGGCTTCTGCTCCAGGCTAGAGGAGTTTCTGAACATCCAAATCCGTTGAGAGCTACAGCAATATCCAACCTCTTCCAGGCAATGCTGAGATACCCAAAAGCTTTCCAGAATCAAAAGACTGACTTCTCCCCTGCCTAAGCCACCTCTCCATACACACAGCTACCCACAAAGAATAACAACAGTAAGCCACATCCCTGCATCACCTAGCTGGGCCATGCCCCATGCAAGCTGGGGAGAGGAAAAAAGGGCCTTAGCCGCATACCCCTTTTCTCTGAGCACCTAGGGCTACACTCCTCGGTTGGGACCCAAAGTAGGTTTTGATTACTGAAAAATAGAACAGCTATATTTTGGTTATTGAAATGCACTTGCCACAGAACAAACTTTGTTTATTTTTTAAACACACCAACTCACTATCAGCAGCGCTCTAGTTTTTTATCACACCTGCTGCACTCCTACCTTTCAATATCATTCCTCTTGAAGCCTCCTCACCTTCCCCTCACCCTCAGCAAGCACACGTTGTACCTCTGTCAGAGTCAGGAAAAGAAGGGAGAAATTAAAGCAGTGGCTCCTCCCAAGCAAGTTGTAATCCAATCAATCTTTGGCAATCTTTGCATTAAGCCTGCTTCTCTATTTTGCTACAAAAGCCACAGCATTCCCACCTTCTTGGTGTTTTGTTTTGATTGCTGCTGAGTGCACCTAAGAGCACAGCTTACCTGTGTCACTCAAGGACCTTGAGTGCTTGTGAACTGTCCCAAAGACAGAGCTCTGCCAAACGTGCTATAGCCCTGTTCATGGCTGTGCTTCCAGCAGTGACTAACAAAAGCCTCCAGCCATACACCCACCATAAACAGCTTGTTTTTAAGCCTCCTTATTAAGAGGGAGATGCTAAAAATATTTATTTCTGTTTTGAAGAACTTAGGAAAAAAATCCACAACAAAAAACAACCTATTTTTCCTCATGTCAGAGGAGCAGGGGCTGCATCTCCTGCAGGCAGGCACTGATGTATGGAGGAACAGGAAAACAGGAGCTCCCTCCTGCCCCCAAAATTAATGATGAAGAAACAGCTGGGAGCAGCAGCTCTAGGAGAAGACGTTCCTCTCTTCTTGGGTGGTTTCCACAGGGAGGTTTGAGGCAGGGGTGCAGTCAAGAAGAACTGAAGAGTAAGCAGAATTCACTTATTATTTTAAGCAATGCAAAGTTTGCGCTTTTCAGGATACAGCAAAATAAGGACACATGATCCTGCTGAGTTTATTTGCAACACCTCTGAGTTAGAAAAAGGTGCCTTTGTTACCCCCACAAAATGGCCTTTATAATTTTTCTTCCTCTGAAGTGCCAGATCTGCCAACACTGGGAAAAAAACCCAAACAACCAAACCCATGCATTTTGGTTCAAGCCCTACAGCGTATCCTGCAAGGAGCAGAAAGGACTCAGCGACCTGACTGAGTACTCAGTCAGATCTTTCTGCATTTTGGCTACGGAGCTAAGCCTGCGGTAAGAAAGAAATGTTACTTAATATGGTAAAAGGAATGTTATCTCAGGGCACAAAGAGACACTGCAGGTTGTTCAACAAACCACACGTTGTAGCCAAGCTCATGGTGACCTGTCACTCCAACAGTCCACCTCAGACCCAATTCTCAGGTGAGTTAACTACAGCAGTTCCTCTGGCTTGATCATTTCTCCCATTCAAGGCCATGCTCAGACTAGGTGGGTAAAAAATTGTACAAAGACTAGGTGAAAAACTGCAGAATTGTTCTTGTGCCAAGTGCACCAGATAGAAGATGTTAGAAATAATACACCCTTCACAGGCACACCAGGGGAGAACCAAGAGTACTAATCGTCCAGGCAAGCCCCAGCCTTGGTCAAGACTTTCAAAGCATGACCACTTTCCTGGGATCAAACTTCTCCTTACTAAACACAACTGAAGTGACTGCGCTGAACAGCATTCAAAACAGACTGTTTCTACAGAAAACTATCATCTTATTTCCATAGAGATATGCCAATATTACACTAAGTCCTAAGTAGAAAGCCTGCCTACTATCTGGAGCTAAAAAAAAAAAAAAAGCCATGCTCTGTAGCTGAAAACTGCTACCAGCCTGTGTCACTTATGTGCCATGCACAACAATACATAACACGCACCAGCAACCATTAACTATTGACTTCTGACCCCGAGGGCAATTTCCGTTTCTTATCCACTTTCTCTGCTTTAGAAGCAGCACAGATGGGGGGGCAATAGGGCTGTGGTTGCCTTCCTTTCTCTGCCATTTACTTCTGTGCAAGAGTAAAGCCTTGGGGCAGTGGGCACCAGGGGAGCTGCCAAAGCCCTGGCCTTGGGCAGGAATCCCTCTATCTCATTAGAGACTGAAAGAGCCTGTGTGTCTTACAAGGAGGATGAAATTAACCCTTAAATTGGTTTGTTAAACCTTAATGGAAACCACTCTTCACACTGTGAAAAGTAGGCAAGACAATGCAGAGAAGAATCAGAAGGTTTCACGTTTGGCAGTGTCCACAAATTTTAAAGTGTCTCTGAAAGGGACAACAGGGAAGACAGAAGAGAATTTCCCAGATGTTATCCAGAAGGTGGAGGTGGTGGAAGAATGGCCACAATCTAGCTGTTCTGCAGCTTCAGAAGTGAAATCTTAGAGGTGCAAACCATCCTATATTTTCCCCTGTCCTCAGACACAAGAAAACAATTTAGACAACTCTCTCAGTGGAGGGAGTTCTCATCTCATTCCCAGGCTTCCGAGGAGGAGAAAGCAATCTAACCTAGAATTACTAGTGGAAGTTGTTTGAACAGACGTGGGTTGCTCCCTAAGCCATCCTCCTGTTACTGCGTTGCATTAAAAATACACAGATAACATTGAAATCAATAATTTCTGTGTCCTTTTAACCAGAATAAGGAGAGAGTCACTTAATTAAGATGCTATGGTGCATAGACCCACCTCCATGTTGACTCTGCCAGGGAGCTTGGAGCTTACAGGGTAGTAGATTCCTGTGCAGCAAAGAATGACTGATGGCAAGCACCTCATCACAGGTGGCTTAGGGCATGCCTTGCTGGTTACACAGAGAGATGGCTGGTGCTTTAACTTTTTACACATTTAAAAGTGGAAGTGGATAGCAAAGGTGAAAGCTTTTCACATGCACCACGTAACACAAAAACTCAGTGAAGCAGAGGAATTGCACTGGCAGTAAATAAGTGTGTCAGAATTTATTTGAACTCCTGCAGAGACAATTTAACATCATTTCAGTGACAGTGTATCAAGAACACACAGGAATTCATTCTGGTGTCAGCATAACTTTTATTTATTTATTGCTGTCAATATGCACAGTTAAGGAAGACCTGATGTGGCTACCTCCTGCGTACAATACTTCTGTAAGGTCTGATATTGTGGCTTTGATGGTAATAGAACAAAGGTCCTGCATTCCAACCCACAAGATGATTTTCCTAACTGCCTGAATTACAGATACATTCCCTGGCTGTCCTTTATTCTGTCCCTACCAGCATCATATAATATAGATATTGTAACTGGAAAATAGCTAGAGATGATGTGAGAACAGCATAAAGGGGAAGACCAGCTCTGTATTGTTTTCTCACAGCCCTTCAGCCTTGTAGGAGCCAGAATTCATTTGTGGCTTTCTAGCACACAAGCACAAGTGGAAACAACACAGAAGGATCAGGTATGCTAAGGAAGGTTGGAAATTCTTACCACATCACTTGTCAATCATCACAAAAATGTCAGCCTTCAGTGCTGGATCTTCTGATTCTTTAAAACCTCCCATTGCCTGGCAGAAGGATACTGGTCAGTGACCGACTGAAATGGAAAGTACAGGCTGTGCTTTCAATGCTTTTCCTCTGGTCACACCAGAGTGACTCCACTCAGGAGCATCACACCCTCACAGTATGCTCCTCCACCCAGCATCAACCCTTCTCCTCTGGTGACTTTCCCCACCTCCACAGCCCTGTAGGAGTTTGCTGCTGACAATGTTTAATTCTTGAAGTGGTAGTGGGTTTTGTTGCTGGACAGTCCTCACTTTCCTGCCCTCCCACTTGTTTTACAGAGGTGTTGATGAAACTATCAGGACTGAGTCAAGGGCTTCTCTACACTGATGCTGCCTATAAATAACATTTGCAGCACATATCTGTTCCAACACAGCTAGATGTCCCAGTGCAAAAAATATGCAAAGGTGGCCCCAAAATGTTCTGCCCACAGTCAACACAACACAACCCTCCCTCCAGCTTGCATCCATGCCACTGAGTTACCTATAAGCTCTTCTCTGTACATGATCCTCCTTGGAGCCAAATCCTCAGCATCCTCAGGTTGTCTTCACCTTGTGTTGCTGCTGTTTGCTTGAAATGATGTAGCATCAAGACAAGAAGTTGCCCTGTGTTTGATATTTTTGCCTGTGCTTGGGACACTGGGACTGCTGCAGTTTTCAGCCTGTATCCCACCGAAGTGCTGATTGACTGGGGGTACGAAGCAAGCCCTTTCCTAGAGGGGATCAGGCAGAAAGGGGTAAGCTGTGTCCAGCTGGGGAGGTTACACTAGCTGGAACATAGGCTGATAAAGGGCTTTCTCAGAAGCATTTGTGTTTGGCAGACAGACTAGATAGGAAAGGAAAGAAGAGGCCTTTCTTAACCTATGGTCTGTGGTTTACTTTAACACTGACTGTGGCATCTTGGCAAAACACGCCTTAAGTAAGCAGCTGAAGCAAACAGATCTGGAGTGATCAGTAGAGAAGGCCTGCCAGGCTACAAGGAGCATTCAAATGAAAGCAAAGCCACTAACTGAGGGGATTGCCTACACACAACTTATCCCCAGTTTCCCCACCAAAGGGTAAATCTCCCTTCTGACCCTAGTGCCCAAGGGCATGACTTTTGCGGAGCTGAATGGCAAGTTGAGCTCAGAAGCCCCCTCCCAAGAAGAGTCACTTTTTGTCCCCTGAAGCAGAATCCTTTTGTGACCTCATGATTTGATAGATAGTTTTCCTGAAGCGCTGGTCCCGGCTCAGTCTTTTGGCTGCTTCTTTCAGCTCTTCAATGTTTTCAGCTTCAGCATGCGAGAAGATGAAGGACTGGGACTGCTTCACTGAAACAAGAACAGCACAGAAAGGTCAGCACTCTCCATCAGGGACACAAACTGAAGATAAAGCTTCTCTAGAGCACACAAGCCATGTGATCACCTGGCAGGGGATGAGCTAACCATTTTGCTCTAACAGTTTTACCTTACTGTGTTCAGAGGAGGAATTGCTGGCAGCATGGAAACACACTTTTCTTTACAGCTGCCTCTGATTTGAGGTGCTACACAGAACCTAATCTAACCTTGCAAGTAGCCACTCTGAGCACCAGATTGGATTCGACAATGTCCAGGTGTTCCTTCCAACTTAACTTAGTCTGTGATTAAGCATTCCAATGAAGTCATATTTAAGCATGTTTTTTTGGGGGCCCGGAACCATCACAGCAATTAGCTTTCAACATACATAAAGAAACAGGCAACAAGTACACAGGCTCAGTGCCTCCTCTCTGGGAAAGGAAGCTCCAAGTAGCACTGTAGCTCCATTCTACTACTAAAGAATACGAAATACGGATGATCTTTGGAGACTTTACTGTTCTGTCAGCCCCATCTGCATGTATCTGCTCTTGCAGAACACAGATTAAAAAGCTGCCTGATACCTACTGTCATTCCATGAAGTACTGGTTCTCCGGCAGCGGAAGCGGCAGCTCTTTATGCGACGAGTGGCAGCCTTGTGGATGTACACGGAGTTCTTCATGATCACAGGCATCTTGGCCTCCAGCTCGGCATTGCGGATGCACTCTTCAAAGAACTCTGAGAAAAAGGCACCACTGTAAGAGTGATGGGACAGACACTCCAAGCAATGAACCAGTCACAAGGGACTGCACTTGTTAATGGGCTGAGCCAGATAATGATTATCTTCACAAACAACAATCTATGAAGCTCCTGAACATCATCAAAATGAACATTTTCAGTGACAAAAACCTCTGGTTTCCAAAAAATGCATACTCAAATTTTACAAAGAACTGCAGAACATTCCACATCAATCATTCACACAACTGCTCATGATTCAACTGCCTCTGATACTGTAATAAAACTTCTCAACTCTCTTGCAACAGAGGGTATGAAGCCTCACTCATCATACTTTCTTTGAAGGACTTCTAAAACCAGTCAAGTCTAACTGGGAAAGGGAGGTTTTGGCAACACTGGCATGGGCACACACCTCCAGGCCATACATGGCCAGGAATTTCTTAAAAGCATAGCACAGAGATATTTACATTATAGGCTCCAAGCAAAGCCCCACATCCAAACTCTGACAATGTTATTCTGTCCTGATCTGCCACACAGGCTGCTTTTCTTGGCCTATTTCCCCTCCTATGGTCTAACCAGCATCTCTTCTGCCATTCCAGTCTTGCTGTCCTTCTGCCTGTTGCTGGCCCCTTGCTGTTCAAAGGCATCATGTGCTAATGTGCCCAAACTTTTATATGAAAGGGTAGAGCAGGGCAGAGCAGCAGGAACCACTTGGAAGGACTGATGCAATCTTAACCAAAGTTAAGGAAAACATTGGTGGTCCCTCATTTTCTCTAGTGCTCTGTTCATTTTTATTCTTTTGAAGAAAACATCCCCCAAAATCTAAGGCTGTAAATGTCAGGAAACATTCAGTACCAGAGGTTACTCACTTATGCCCCAGGCAGGTAGCTCAGCTCTACTTGAATGCTGAACTCAATAAACATATCCACTTTAGCTCTGTTTTCTTACCATGGCTCTGAGACAGTGGAATGAAGTTCAGAATCATGTTGGTTTTCCTCAGTTTAGAAATCTTATGTAGAAACTACTGAATAATATTTATTTTATTTAAATATATAAAAAGTATAGATATGTGAATAGATATAAAACTATTAATACATGTATTTATTTTTTTCTTATTATTCTTTTTATTCTTTCTACGTAAACTGTGCTCAGAATGCCACAGGACTTTTTGACTTTTCTGTATTGGCCCAGTACATCCACCCTTCACTGAAATGAAGCCTTAACTGTACAAATACAGCATCTTCACAACCTTTTCTCTCTGAACTATACTTGATGGAAAATAAGCAAGACTTCATACAACTGAAGCTGCTAATGTCAGTTCCCAGACCCAACTCAAGCCAAATGCTAGGGAAATGCCCCTCCAAAATACCCAAAAATCTCCAACCCAAATAAACACAAAAAGGGCAAGGAAATAAGGTTAACCTGTGAGGACATGAGTCTTACACCTGACCTGTGGACTGCAGCTGTCTCAGCACAGCAGTGCTGATGCTGTAATTCAGGTCCAAGTAAGGATCCAAACTTCACCTGCTGGGTCACCTACCAGCATGTTGGTACAGCAACCACAGTCCTCCTTAAACTGATGTTGTTGTAACCAAGGCTGAGAAAATAATGTCTTGAGGGGAATCAGAAGACTCTTTATAACTCAGGCCTAGTCAGTCTTCATAGCTCTGCCACAGCTTCCCTTTGACATTTTGGAAAGCATTTGATCATCTCTACCTTTAGGTTTGTCTTGCACCCAACAAAGAAGGCTAGGATAATTTCACCCTCCTTTGAGGGCAAAATACCAAGTGCCCACTTAGCACATTATGGCTCCTCAAATGGGAGGTGTGGTGGAGGTACAAGAAGTTGGAAGAGCACATTATGTGCACTGAGGATCTTCTTTGTGTGTCTGGAAAGATGGGTAGAAATATTTTCTCTCAGACTTTGCTTATCAGGAGAGAGGATGGATGACTGACTTACTTCTCAAGTTACTGACATCTGCTTTCATCTTTTCCTCTTTCTCCTTGTTGCAATGCAGAGAATTTAAGCCTTGCTCCAAGCTCTGCAATGCTTCCTCAGCTTCTCTCAGTCTCTTCTCTAGATCCATGCGTACCTTCACCTCAGCCTGAGGAAGAGAAAAAGAATTGCTGGAAACTGGCTTGTGTCTCAATAATCATCCTGGTAACCCACAAGGTCAGTGAGGGACTCACCATGGGTGAAAACAAAAAGACAACAGTGATGAAAATCCTTAGAAATATTGTAAGACAACATAAAAGTTGTTCCTCATATCTTCAGTCAGAATCTGAAGTCCAGACTATTTTAGTAATTCTCCTTTACTCTAACTTTCATTTTCTGCAGTTTTCCTCCCATTGTATAAACCATATGGAATCAGAGATGATATTTCAACATATGAATTTGTGCTAATGCAAGTATTTACAGATGAGCAGAAAAGGGAGGACATAATTCCAGCTGAGATGGACTTGAGATAGAGGCAGTCAGTTCCCACAAAGGGATGTACAGTACTGAGTTTCAGGAACAAAACACAAGGAAATTTAGAACTGAAGTAGTATCTTTAGCAAATCAGAATGACTAATACAGCTTAGCTCAACTCAGCTTCCATTTGGCCAAGTGGAAGGTTACAGGGTAAAAAAAAAAATATTGGCAGTGCAGGAAAAAGAAGAACTGGGGTTTTTTTGGATAAAATATTTGTATAAGCAGGTTGAGTGTCAAACAGCCAACAATAAACATAACCTTTATATTATTTGGATTTAAATAAAATATCATATATTAATCTGTGCAAAGGTAATTGGACAAAGTATCCTCTGTTACAAAGGAGGGCTGGTACCTCAGCTGCATTCCTCAGCTGCATTCCTCTGCTTTTCAACTCAAGTTCTTGCAGAGGTTACTGAAGATTTGCACATCTTAAGATTGATTTTCTGAGCACAAGTGAGGAGGTAAGATATCTGCTCAGTTCTGCAATGTCCATGTTAACATTTCTTTGAAATAATCTTTATTCTTTTTCATGTCTACTTTACTCTTTTACTTTTTTCTTCCCTTCATCTTTAGATGATGATGTCATAGTAGCAAACTAAAAGACTTGCACTAAACAATTTAATCAGGCTTCAGAATGAGAAAATAAATAGTAGTGCTACATAGATACGACATGGCAACTTCATGTGTTATGATGGTGTCACAGAGTGTTTTGGATTGGAAGAGACCTTAAAGATCATCTAGTTCCAACCCCTCTGCTGTGGACAGTGACAGTTTTCACTAGACCACACTGCTCAAAGCCCCATACAACCTGGTCCTGAACATTTCCAGGGATGGGGCATCCACAACTTCTCTGGGCAACCTGTTCCAGTGCCTCACCACCCTCACAGTAAAAAATTTCTTCCTAATATCTAATCTAAACCTCTCCTCTTTCAGTTTTAAGCCAATTCCTCTTGTCCTATCACTACATATCCTTGTAAAAATTCCCTCTCCAGCTCTCTTGTAGCCTCTTTTAGGTACTGGAAGGTGCTGTAAGGTTTCCTTCTCAGAGCCTTCTCTTATCCAGCCTAAACAACCCAAGGTCTCTCAGCTTGTCTTTACAGAAGACATGCTCCAGTCCTCTGATGATCTTTGTGATCCTCCTCTGGACTCACTGCAACACATCCATGTCCTTCCTGTGCTGAGGACCCCAGAACTGGATGCAGTACTCCAGGTGGGGTCTCACAAGGGCAGAGTAGAGGGGCAGAATCTACTGGTTTTGATGCTTTTGATGCAGCCCAGGATACCGTTGGCAATAGGAAGCACAGCAAATTAAGATTTGTGATCACAACATGAAAACGAAATAAAGTGTTTGGCTTGATGGGGGATGAACTGAGAAGGAAAATGAGAGCACTTTAGGCCCAGGGACAGCAATATACAACATTTGCAGGGAATACCTTGAGGTCTCTCTCTGCCTGCTGTTTCTCTGCAGTCAGCTCTGACAGTGAGTTCTGCAGTGCTTGGGACTGGGAAGAGTAAAACTCCCGCTCCTCCTCCAGTGCTCGGGACCGCTCCTCATTCTCCTTCATCCTGATGCATGGCACAGCAAAGAAAGATGACCATTCCCACCCCAGCACAACTGACAGGAAGGAAAGAAGCTCAGTATCATGATTGGGCATACTTAACTATCTGGCTGTCTTGAGCAAAGAGGTGCTAACAGGAGCACTGTCTGTGCTTCACTCCAATAATACAGGCATTGCTGGAGAAAGCCAGGTGGACAGTTCTAGAACAGAACACTCTCAACCCCTAGATGAGGCCCAGAAGCACCAAACACTCCTTAGGGACAGGCCATGAACACCTTCACATGCCCAAATCCTGGTTTGAAAGGAGAAGGCCCAACCGGGAGCAAGAAGTTCAGCAGCCCTGCCTCATTCTGTCTCCTTTGAAGTGTTTGTACCCTAAACTCCTGCCGTGGGAACCAGACAATCTTCCAGACTTGTCTCATGTTGGCAACGAAAAAGCAAGTCAGCAGACAGTCAACAGTCACATCATTTGGCACCCCTAAGCCTGAGCAGGGCAGAAGTGCCCTCTTCCCTTTACCACACCCAAGAATGGAAATTATAAAGGATCTTGGCTCTCTGCAGGTCTCAGGATAAACAGGGAAACTGTTTTGAAGTGATATCACTTTAAGCCTGCAAATATTTAGCCACAACCCCATGCCTCCCACCTGCAAGGGGCAAAACTACTTTTTTTCACACCACCCTCCTCACACTGGATCACATCTTGTTCCTGATACCACCTCAAGAACCCCTGCCCCCACTTCACCTCTTCTCTGCCTGGAGTTTCTCCTGCAGAAGTTGCTGCATCTTCTCTTCAATCTGTCGCAGGCTGCAGTGCAGTCCCCAGATGGGGTTTTGCTCTTTGCTGGGGCTGGTTGGAGGTGGGACCTGGTTCTCATTTTCTTCCAGCATCTCCAGCATTTGCTGCTTTTCCAGGGAGAGCTCCTTGAAGAAGGACAGAGATTGTGAGTATCAGCTAAGTCTAATGTTTCTGCTCCTGTTCCTGCCTGGCTCTTCCCTATTGAGTCCCTCCACCCTTACATGCCTCATTCAGGTTAAAAACACAAATAACAAAATTAGGTTTTCATTTTGTACCTGCTTCATGAGGAGCAAGCCTCCACCACAGCCTTTGCTATGAAGGGGGAGAGAACCTGCAGGCTCCTTTGATGTGATATGCCAGTAAGGACACAATTCAGGGACTGGAGCCTTGTGATTCCCTAGTGCATCACAGATGCAGCCCGCTTCCCTGCCTTCCCTGCTTTGGCTTGCTCCTCAATGGGAACTGGAGGCACCCCCTCTGTGGTACTTCTAACTGCAGGGCAATAAGACATATCATGCTGTTTGCCTGTGAAGTGTTTGGTTCAGTGTGCAACTAGAGCATGAACAGTCCTTCACTATCTTTCCAGTTCTTTTTTCATTCCCATAACTTCAGGCAAGGAGAAGAGCTCAAAGGAACAGATTTTTGGACAAACTTGCAGCATCTGACAAAACATTAAGAATGACCTTGAGGCTTCCAAAGGCTGGCTGTATGAAAATCTCACAATGTGCATTTAGAAAAGACACTTTCCACAAATCCACCAGAGTGATACCAAGTAAGGAAAGATTTTAATACATCAATATTCCTTTTCCTATATTCCCATGTGGTACAGGATTCCCTGGGAACACCATGCTCTCTTCTGCAAACAAGGAATGCCTTTCTCCTGCTCCAGTTTCCACCAGAACTTAGGGAGTTGCAGTTTAAAAAAAAAAAAAGTGCATGACTTACAGCCATGTTGGCTGGAAGGCACCCTCCAGCAGGCTCAAGTCCAACCTCCTGTTCAGAGCTGGTCTGCCAGCACAGTAGGATATGGTCAGATGTGGCTTTCTACAGTCCAGTTGTGAAAACCTTCCACGATGAAGCTTCCTCAGGCTCTCCCACTGCCTGCCTATCCATCCGGTGAAAATTCTCTCCCTAGTGTTCAACCTGAGCTTCCCAAACTGCAACTTTTGGTTTTTCAGATATCATCACATCACCTGCTATGACTGAGAAAATTTTGCTTCTGCTGGGCTCTGTATCACTTCTCATCCTTTTCCATGGGGGATTTTGGCATTCATACCAGCTACCAAATGAACCTGTTTATCTGTACAGGACTTAACTTTGGCACTAGCAGATATTAGATTCATTCCATAGCACACTAAAATGCTGTCACTCAGAGGTGAGAAGTGGTCACTCACCTCCAGGGTGTTCTGTAAGGACTGCGTCAGGCTTCGCAACTCTTTCTTTTCTTCCTCCACTCCTTTAAGGGAGCGGGCTGTGAGCTCTAGCTCCCTAAAGAAGCAAAAAGGGGGAACAGCTATTGCAGTGGAACACTAGCCCCACGGACCACGCTCAGACTGCGCAGGCTGTGGATCTCTTGGTGAAGGCAGTCCTGGAGAGTCAGGAGCTTGCCAGGAAGCATCACATCCTGCCTTGAACACACTACGGGCATTCAGGAACTTTACTGTGCCTCCTCATCGTCAAACCAAACCAAACTGTCAGTGTGCTTCTCTAGCAAGGACAGGGCCATGGTTGCAACTGGAAGAGTTCAAACAGGGCAGTCATATTTAAGCAGAGGTAGATCTATGAAAACAAAAATGGTTTGCAAAATCACACCGAGATGTTATTTAGGGAGAGAAAAGGAAAACAAAAAAAAAGAGGGCAATGGCTAAACAGCCCTTTCAACACTCAGGGCAAAGCATTTTGATCCTTCCCTTTCTAAATACATTCTCCGCTTACATTTTGCATAGTGTAATTCTTAAAATAACAAAACAATTCTTGGTGAGGCAACATCATCATCCACCCATTGTCATTTAGCTGATGGTGGAAAACCAGATCCATATGTCTGGACCCCACAGGGCTGATCAGCCAATCAAAGTAATTGCCTCTTTGAAATCCTCTCTAGCACCTCCATTGCCATGCTTCCCCAACCAATCTGGGGTTTGCCCATGTCCAAGCCCTTTGAAAATAAATTGCTGGAGCCCTGAATGCAAAATGAAGCTAAGTTGTATTCTATTGGTCACACAAGCAATAGCAAATGCAGGTAAACAGCCCACAGCCATTCCTGTTTTGGTCAATATAGCATCTATTCTCCTTCCTACACACACAAAAATAGGTGGATTTTACAAACTGTTTTGATTCACCACGACAGTGGCACTTTTGTCTGGTGTGGGAGTTAGTGTCCTTTTCCTGCCCTGCACAGTCTGCTGCCTCACCGTCTGATCTCCTCCTGCTCCAGCCGCAGCTCCCGCACCACCTCTTCAAACTGCTGCTTCTCTGCTTCCAGCATCTGGTTCAGGCGCTCGAGTTCCTGGCCCAAAGAGAAGACAGGAATGTACTCTGCCTACACGGTTAGGCAAGGCTTCCCTGTTAACAGTGCCTGGGACTTTAAACCTGGCATTTAACCCGAGCTATGTAGAGCCACAAGGCGTCTGATCACACCACGCTTTTGTCCAGGAGCAATTAGAAGGGATTTGAAGTAAGTTGAGGATTTTCAGACATCCATAAGCCCCAGCCAGGTTACCAAGCACACGAAAATCCCAGACATGCTCTCTGCACAGGTCAGCTCTGATGCATATATACAGAAGGTCCCTGGGAATGCTGGACTCCACGTGTATGTACCATTTCCAGGCACCCACATGTTCAGGTACAGATAGTCCTGAAGGAGTGTGACAGCCCCAGAATTGCTGTGCCTGAAGTGTGATTTTATTACTAGCTCTGCCTTGCTCTCCACCCCCACTGGGGCAGGAAAACACAAACTGTTCAGTTACAGCTTTGCACAGTTTAATCAGCCTGTCACTATCTTTGTGCTGATAAAACCATGTTTAAAGAGCACCAAATACAAGTTGTCTCAAGCAGTGAAACAGCCTCTTTCCCTAGTCTAGAGGCAGCAGTTATACTGAGACCTACTACAGATGGAGAAAGACAGGGACAAAATACAACAAGGCTCCTGCTCCCAGATAGGTCCCTTTGCAGCTATAGCTGCTAAGCACAACTCCTGTTGCAGGCCCAGGCTAGTCACAAAACAGCACTAACACTGAATAAAATAATATTAAGCGTCTCGCTCTATAGTGCAGATACATGGTTCAAGTTTCCTTCCCAACATACTTCTCTGGAGCCTTCAGGCTCTCAACAGGTCAGACTGCCACAGCTCAGTGAGCTCTACATTCAGTTCTTCACAGTACCAAACTCCTTCAGACTAACCTGGCCCCATCTGAATTTTGTGGGCAATGGAGTTACTGTGCATGGCTTTTTAATAGCAGAGATTTGTTACAGGATCTTCAGACAAGGGCATTTCCTTCCCCATGGCTGTGGGCTGTGCAGCAGGCTACTTCACCAGAAAGGGATGTCTCCCTGTAAAGGCACAAGTAGCTTAGCCCTAAAGGAGAGTCCAAGCTATCTTTGGATTTTAGCTCTCCAAAAATGTATGCAAGAAATACATAGGCCTGAGAAGCCAAGGTCAGCATTGCTGTCTTTTCCTAAAGAGGGGCAATGGTCATTTTGGATTAACTGGAATAGAACATGAGGCACTTTGCAAGGTTGTAACATGGTATTCTACATCCATGCAGACTTTTCTACTGTGTAATAGGACAATCCATTTGCACAGCTATCTTGCAATAACTTTATGATGGTGCTATAAAAATCAGTATCGTTTTGCTGGAAATGTGAGAATGAGCTACTCTTACTATACTAAGCAACCATAAGTTAGGAATAGTTTGGAAAACAATTCCCATCTTATCTCATGGTTAGGTTTCGTGAATGAAGATTTGGGAAGGGCTCTACCCACATTTGCTACAAACGCGCTGGTGACTAAAAAGGCCAATGCGGGATAGACAAGTCCGGCTGCAAAAGGCACAGCGGAAAGACTCCTTAGGTGGTATTGACAAGACACGTGTCTTGTCGCAAAACAATTATAAACTTGATAAAGCAACCTCGTTTAGTGAAAGATGTCCCTGCCTGTGGCAGGGAGGCTGGAACTAGGTGATCTTCAAGGCCCCTTCCAACCCAAACCATTCTATGATTCTAAGATAAATTAAGGTATCATAGTCACCTCTTAGGGGGTGCTCTCTTGATTTTTCTCTCGTGCAATATTTATTATTCTCCCCATCTCTGGTGTGTCCAAAAAACAAACCATATTGCTTTTTCTGCTCCTTTTTTCTCACAACAGTATCTCTACACTGGAACCATGTCAGGTCTGTTTACTTGCTTTCTAACTGTGGAGACAAGTCTTGATTGCCAGAGTCTTCTCTGCCAAATAACAATTGTGTCATTCAATCCAGTGAATATGAATTTCATTTCATTTTCCTCCCTGGTCCTCCTGCAGATATAATCACAAGTACGGTGCATGGAAAATAACAGGGAAAGGGAACAAGGGTACACCTCCAAGACCCATCTCATGGCACAAGTCTTATTCCTCTCTTCATCCATGGGGTCCAGAGCTTGGCTGGAGAATCTTGTGGCTCCCCAAGCCCCTCTCCCTGACCCCTGACATGCCTTCAAACCAACAACTCCCAAAATCCCAGTCCTGCCACATGGAATTTAAAGGAAATTGGTTTGGGATGAACACTCACCTCTTTTTGCTCCCTTTGCAGACATAGCTCTTCTGTTTCCTCCATTAGCTTATCTGCAAGCACACAAACAAAGGCCAGAGAAAGCACAGAGAAAAGCATTTTATATCCTGGGGATATTTACAAACATGAAACACTAACTTTCTGAAGCATTCCCTATTCCTTTGTGTGCATCTGTCTGAGAGGCTCCAAAGTCTAAGATGGCATGTAATGGGATGTTCTGTAACTTCATCTTGCCAAATAACTGAATAAACTAAACAACCACATTGTTGTGTACTCATTCTAAGGTTTCCTCTCAATGCTCTTAAAGAACATTAATGAACTAACCTCCACTATCCTCTAGCTGAGTCAGAAAAATATTCTTATCTCTGTTTCACAGATGAGGAAACAAAGGCACAGAAAGGTTAAGTGGGTGCACAGGGTCACACACCAGGTACCAGCAGTCAGTTCTCCTGCAGCTCAGTGCCTCATCCCCACCTGCCTAGCACATCATCCTCTCCTTACTCCTTAGCCCTCTGGGCATCACTGCCAGCTCCCTATTGTCACCTTGGGATGTTCCAGCCAAGGCCAGAAATCAATCTCCTAACCTAGCCACAAAAGTTTTGCTATACAGAACAGTTCCCCTCAACATCAGCTGCTCTTGTCTACTGAAGATACACACCCACTAGAGGCCCTGCTCTGCTCCTAACCCTGCAGCCTGCTGTTGTGCTATGCCCTAACCTCAAAGGCTCTCCCTCAGGCAGCTCTTGGTCACACTTACAGGAAGCCAGACAGAAACACACTCCTCACAGTTAAGCCTAAGGTTTAGCTCTCAGCTCTGCCACCAAGCTGCCATGTGAGCAGGGCAGATTCACTGTAGCACTTATAGATTAAATTTTCCCCATATCAGGTGAGTGGGATGCTACTGATTTCCCTGGTACTGGAGACCTGATGAGATTACTACCGCTGGCAGGAGTACTACTGCTGGGAGGAATACAGATTTCACCTCCTGCCCACAGCAGGGCTCCCGCTGCCAGAGAAATAGTGTTACATTACCAAAGCTCTGCTGACCACCACTGCTGCCTTTCCTTTCCACTCTTGACCTCTTTCTCCTGGGCAGGACTCAGCACAGATGCACTGTAATTACACAGAGGCTCTTCTACCTTCCCCCTTCTGCCCCTCTTAGGGGGCCCAAGCCCTGGACTTGATGGCCCTCTGTAAAGTCCATGTCTGAGAGTGAAACCTGGATCCTAACCTGGTGGGAGGAAGGTGGGATCCACTCAGTGTAGATTCAGGGAATTCCCCCGAGCAGTGTTTGCTTCCTCCAGAGAACCTTGACCTCCTGCCAGGAACAGTGTCTGACCTCAAAGTTTTAACTAGAGGATGGACACAGATCATTGAAGGTAACGCTAATGAAGCAGAAGCCTCAGTAGTTATATTGAAATAGACAGTTGCTGTCAAAAGAAAGTAACCAACTGTGACAATTGACCAGCTCTGAATGTTCCTGTCACGGACCAAAGAACCCAGTGAAATATATATTTCATATTCCAAATATCTCCTGTTTGCCACAGAATGTATATTCTTCTATTCCTCCATCACTTTGTCTTTTATCGTACTAAAGACCTCTTCAGTCTTTTAGGCTCTTTAGTCTGCTCTGGTGGTTGCAAAATAATGTTTTGACAAAGTTTTTCTGTTTCTAATCTTCCTCCTGTTCCTGTCCCTCCAGGTCCTCCTTTCAGCACTCCCCATTATCCCTTTGTCAGACATGGAGCCGCTTCTCCCTCCCTGCCTCACATACAAGGCCATCCATCAACTCACATGTGTGAATGGAGCTTAGATGGCCAGAATGAACATGCCTTGATACTTGAATTATTATCACTGTTGCATGTGAGATCACCCCTGATCATCATGGATGCAAAAGTGCAAAAAGCTCTTCAAGATTCCTTCAGTACCTTGGTGATTAGGAGTAGATACTATGAGCCTCTGCTCAAGGCATCACTAACCTGAAGCACCCAAATTGCTGCCAGCTTGTTTAAAGCAGATGACTGTCCAGACAAGTCACTGGGTCCACACATGACCAGCAGCCCCCAGATCAGAAGGGCTCTTCGAATGCTCTAACATGGAGGGCATCTGGGTTAAAATGACTACTCTCCCTTGGCTCTTGCTATGGTCAATGCAGGGAAGAGACAGCTGGACCTCCCAAGGCAGTCATAGCATCCAAGGTATTGCCATCCAGAATCTGGAAGGGGATTGGACTAGATAACCTACAGAAGTCTCTTTCCACCTACATTATTCTATGTTCATCTGGACAAACTGTTCTCTCTGCACTGTCCATGGAGACAGCACTGACAAATTAGCCACTGCCATTAGACACCTCAAGCAAGCCCATGTAAATGCTCCCACTTTCAATACGAAGAGTGTGAGCAAACACAAAGATCAAATAGAGTAAGACCAAAAAAACCCCTAGCTAGTTGAAGAAAACTCATGCATGAAAAGCTGTGATCAGCCTCAGAAGTGTCAGTCCTGTGTGATTCAGGGAGACAAAGGTATTGGCTATTTGCCTGGTAAGCAGCTGAAACCAGCACATCCAAATATCTCAGGGGCAGCAAACATTTGTACAGACCAGCCACGAGACTGCAGCAGGTTGGCCAAAGCACATTCTTGTTTTCACACTCCAAACAGATGTCCAAATCCTACCTTAACCATTGCATGTTTTGACCCCCTTCAAACCTGAATTTCAGCTGCTGACTACTCAAAAGCTTCATCCAGTAACAGTCAAACCTATAAAAACAGGTTTTGTACAGTAAAAACCTGTAGCTGCTTGGCTTGACCACACTGACAACTCCAGGAAAAGCAAAATGGCTATTTTGGGGTTTATGGCTTTTGGAAGTAAGAGTTTCCTACCTAAATACTCCTGTTTCTCCTTGGCCAGCTGCAGTCCTTGGGCTTCCAGGCTCTCAATCATAGCCTCTCCCAGCTGGGCATTCTTCCATGTCCTAGGGAGAGCAGACACAAAGCAGGCAATGTAAAGGAGCTAAGGGTCCTACAGATTGAGACGGGGGTCTCAGCCTAGCAAGCCACCAAGTAATTCAAACATGCAGACTTTCATCGTTTGGGACAGTGATTCTCTAAATTTTTCTCCACAAATGAATTGGAGAAATTTCCCTGACATTAAGTAATATTTCTTTTCTTTTTTAAATACATGAGCTGTATGTTAACACCTCACAACTATTCAAATGTTATTTTTCAGTGTTTTGGAGATTCCTACACTGATCTTAAGCTTAAGGACTCTCCAGACCAATTCAGCACATCCACAGCCTCCAACTGCAACAGGATGCATCTGGAACCCTTTAAATAGATCCTGACAGACTTTAGGACCAGATTTTAGCTTTTAACTCAAATAACTTCCCATCGCTAACAACATTGTCTTCTGCAACCTTTCCAGTATTTTGCTGTTAGAGTCACTCTTCCCCTTCAAACATTAACCATCTATTGAATTCTTCCCATAGCCTTCTATCTTCAGTCTTTCTGGTATCCACCATCCACCCTGGAACCAATCAATCCCTCCTCTGCTACTTATAAGCCACTAGGACTTGGTGTCTGGCCCTACACTGTGAGTTAAGTGCCTCTTCCTGTGAAAACAAAAAAGAACCAGAGATAAAAGCCAGACTAGATGCTGGCAAGTAGGGAATGTTAAAGGAAGCAGGCATATTCAAAGAGCATCTTGTGTTATTTTAGGACCATTGGCCAGAGGATCTCAAGGTCACTTAAACACTTCATGAAGCTAAGCTACAAGAAAGGCCTGTGGAGCAGATGCCCATTACTGACTGAGTTGATGGGCAGGATAGGCTTAAGCACAGATATTAAATACCATGGACAAGGACACACAAATCAAAACCAGAACCAACAATGGAGCTTGCTGCTCAATTCTATTGGTGTTTCATTAGAAAAAAAAAAATCAACACACAAGAAATGCATAACATTAAAACATACATACAATTGATTCTAATCTATTTATACAGATGTACATACAGGAACAGCAGTTGCTGCCCAGAAATTCTGCCGTCTTTGTTAAATCCTGAGGGAGCTTATTAATATTAAATATCTGTAAGCCTTCCTGTACCAAGCCTCTTTGTGAACCATTTGAAATTGTAGCTTTTTGGAAACCATTAGGTTGGCAACCTTTTAGATAACAATTTCAAGGCAACTTGTACTTCATCTCTTACAAAAAACAGACAAATAAATTAAACACACGCCACCCCAGGGACCAGGCAGCTCACAGCTCCAGCAGCCCAAGCACTGTCTTGTGCTCCTTGCAGATAGCTGTGCTTCTTTTCAGCTGATGAGGATCATTCTAAAGTGCAGAGGAAATTAGAACACTAATTAAAAAGGTGCTGTTTTGCCCACAGGTAGACATCTTCATCTTGAGGGAGAACATGTGGGTGCGAATATGTTTTTTCACCAACTTTTTCTCATACAAGATGAATATGATCCCAGAGAAGCCAACAGCAAAAGATCTCAAGAGGGGAGTGGGGGGGACGACAGAGTTTATCATATGATTACATGGAGAGTTTCAAAACAGCTGTAGCCTTTAAGGTGTCTGTTTATTAGATTCATGTTTCCAGGGCCCTTTCCCTTCCCCAGCCTAACAAGATGTTTCCCTGTCTGTAACTCAAAGGTTACTAAGAAAAGAACCCCCAAAGCTGTATAGTTATCTGCATGTGTTATGCATCTCAACCATTGTCTGTTCCGGTCCTTTTGCAGCACTGGGAACATCTCTCTAGTTTTGCCTGCATTTTACCTTTCTTGGGAACAGCCACAAGCAATTTTTGGAGACACTTAGCACTTCATGGTCCACAGGATATATGTTCTATGTTATTTTTGCCCCCTCCATTGCCCACAAAGTCTACTTTTAACGAATTCAAGGAACGCTCAGTGAAGAGAGCTGTGGACAGAGAGAGTGTTACATGTGCCCCTCTCCCTAACTAGCAGAAGAAAAAGCCTCTTTGGGTGGGAAGAGAGCCTGGTGGTCTAGGAGTCAGGGCTTTGTGCGTTTCCAAAAAGCTTTCCAGATCTGGCAAGTGTGGTAAGTCCAAGCCACAACATGTTAGAAGGGTGGAGAGACCATTGGTTCCCCTCTGCACTGAATAAGCCATTTCCCTATCAAACCATGATTCTTGCAAAGGAGTGAAGAGCTGAAGGTATCACTGAGCAGACTATGATGGTAGAGGCAATAAGCAGTTGTGCGGGCACACTCCCCCCCCACCCAACCAAAGAGACAGCAGACAAAATTGACTCAAAGGAGAGAGGATAGAGGACATTTCCAGATTGGGTTAATTTTTTCCTCTTTCCCTTATTTCTGTATCTCACTCTATGGAATTCGTTTTAGGGGTTTTTTGAGGATGTTTATGTGTTTTTTTTTCCTTTGGTTGGTTTTAAATAATAAGGGAGACTGCAGGATGACTACAACTAAGTGCTGCAGTGCCACCGGCAGTGCAATCTCAATCTAGGAACAACAGGGCACTCAAACAGGTTGTCTAGAATATTTCATCTGTATCCTTTTAGCTTTCCTGTTCATTGCAGATCAAGTTACTGGCCCATGCTGGCCTTTCTGACCGCTGCTTAGCTCCCAACATGACCCTGCTAGCATAAACCACATAATCTGTGCTTTTCCTGACATGCAGGCTATTCTCAGCACAGGTGAGGCTGGCACTGGAGCTGCACTGCTCTCCTCTGATACAAGAACAGAAGCAGAGAGGGGAGGGAAGGGGGTGTCTTGGGTAGATTTTCAGCTAGGTGCAGGTAGTCTGCTATATGATAGCAGCCACTGTCTAGCTCCTCTTTTAAACACTACTGCTGGAATATTGAAGCAAAGACTAAAGAAAAGGTTGACTCTCTGACATACACAGTCGTGCAGGGCTTGCTTGTGAGCACACCTCTGGAGCTGTGCTGCCATGCTCCTTCCCTCCCATACACACCTGAAAGATGAATTTGGTCCCAAATTATTGCCCTTGGCCTTGGCAATAATTTAGCTTAACACTGGTGAAGGGAAATGCAGGTCTGTGCTAACTGAATAAAAAACTCCAGATTGCTCAAAGGCTAAATCTGTGCCTCTTCTTCCCTGCAGTGGTCAAGTCTGCTTGTGCTGAGTGGGTGACAGACTTCTGCCTTGGGTCTTGTGTCCCATGGGACTCCTGCTCCCATGAAACTTTAATGGACAGCTTTGTGTTGCAGTTCATACACTACTGTGGGGGTAACAGCTTGCCCCAGCACCCAAGCCAGGCACACTGCAGTAGCACAGACCTTGGCTTGTGCTGATCCACCATAAAATTGGTTCCTCATTAATACAAATTAACATGTTGAGCCTCACAACATTGAAATGAACTGAGATACTGCCTTTACCATGTACACACTGGTATTACAAACAGAACATCATCTGTCCCTATAGTGACATGAGACCACATACACACATTGTAATGCAGCCAGGAAGGGCAGACCAAAGCGCTCATTGCTTTAAGCCTTGCAGGTGAGTAGTAGGCTCTGCTCTGCTTGGGAAGTTTCTATATCTGGTTTGGGAAAGTCAAATCCCTGTTTAAGTGTTATGTCTTCTGCACCAGCTGAGATTTAGAAGGAGCCTGCTCTGGTTTTGCAAGACAGCTGCTCCTTGCACTGCCAAGCTCCGGGGTGCTGAGGAATTGCAGAAATGGAGGCCAACAAACTGCAAATCTTTCTCCAGCATTCTCAGCAGACTGCGAGCTCAGTATTGTATCCATACAGCAGTCAAACCCTCTCACCCCTGTAGGTGGGCTGGAAATGCTTTGCTAACACCTCCTCTCCTGGGATTTAACCTGCCTCTGCATTTCAGAATTAAATGTCCTGAGAGGCCAAATCCTGCTGCTGTGTGGCCTGAGCACCCTGAGATCTGAGCAGAAGGGATGCACACTCTAAGGACACACAATTTCTCCGAGGCTGTTATTGACGTCTCGGCATGACCAGTACTGTGCTGGTGAGGTCCTTGCCCCTAGCAGGATGTAGAGCCACATGGACAGCTGCTCACAAGCTTTGTGCCTTGCCTGTTCTGCTCGTACTTTACCCCAAATTCAAACAGGGAAGTTTTCTAACCCTCACCTTTGTCAAGCCCACAGACCTTGCTACCCACACGGAATGGACCAGAAGGGCTCCCATTCAGGCCCAGGTCCCATCTTTCAGAGGTAAGAGAGAGGGACAGCAGAGGGCACTCATTACCTCAGCATTTGACAGATGACAGCCTGGGGTTGGGAGCAAAGAGCCATACTGCACACCACACTGCCTACCAAGGTGGGAAGCTTTGTGTCAGCTTTAGAGCATTCCCATTTAGGGAAAGGATAGGTCCAGGAGACAAGTGAAGCTCTTACTAGTTTTGAGGAGCTTGTCTGACTTCCCATAGTCCTTCTAGTCAGGCTTCTTCCTCTTTATCCTTTACACATCTACAGAACAGATCAAACTGAATAAGGAATAGAAAGAAGCTTACACTTTTCCAGACTCCTGTAGCATCTCCAGCCACTGAGCCTGCTCAAACTCTGATTCAGCTGCTAGAACAATGTTACCCTGGAAGAGGGGAGGGGAGGGGAGAAAAAACCCAGATTAGAGAGGCTGGTGCCTTATGCACCTCTGTGCACTCAGGGCATGAACTGAACACAGATAGCACAGCTGTGGAGGGAGGAAAGCCCACCACAGTCTTCCACCTCCACAGGAAGCATCACATGGTAGCAAATATGACCCAGGTCTACCACACATTGGAAAGTGTGCTTATGGCAAACAGTCATGGCAGGAATAAAATGATAGGGCAACGTGAGCTCTAGGGCTCTTGAGTATCTGTCTACTGGTCTGCTAGTAGCATAATACCTGGTGTCAGAAAGTGCAAGTTTTCTTGTTGGTTGTCAAAGTAGCAGCAGCAAAAACTTGAGGGGACTTGAGATGCTAAGCCACCCTCTCTCTCAGGATAGTCTGCCCAGAGAGGGTAGGCATACCTTGGTGGGGAAGGAAAAGACTGCCAATCTAGCTCTGCTCATCAGCATTAACATGTTTTGAGGTGTTTGTGGGTTTTTAGAAGAAATCTACTTACATGGAAGTCTTCATGAGAGATTTTTATGGCATAAGGCATGTTGGCCTCTTCTTTGGGCTCCACGATGCAGCCTCCCAGGGGTATGACACCCTAGGGATAAACCAGAGCACTCCAATCAGTCAGTAAAATCAAGTATAACTATTAACTAACCAGGAGCTGAACTTTCACCCTTGGTCACTTGTGGAGCCCTGCCTTTCCTTGGCTACACCAGGAGGGGCAATACACACAGTTTCTGAAAAGCAGAGGGATTCCCACCACCACCAGGAAACCCCCCCAACTGGTATCTGAAAGGAGGTGAAGATGGCAGTCCTGTATTCCTCACAGAGAGAAGACTGCTAGCTAGAACACGGAAGCAGGAACTCTGTTATCAAGGAGGAGGTGATCTCCCAACAGGGGCGAGTTTTGCAGGTTCACAGTGTGGTATCATGAGAGAGGCTGTGCATCCATTGCAGTCACCACCCCACATGTGCTGTGTGGGGGTGGATGGGCAGCTGGCTGCTGCTAAGCAGGATGTGTGGAAGAATGTGTGCCTCATCAGCCTCCAGTGACTACAGAGGACAAAAGCAGACTCAGAGCCCAAGGCCCCTATGTGAGATCTCCAGGCAGCAGAGCTATGGAGGCCGCTCCTAAGAACTGAAGGCATGTGGGTTATCAGATGCTAATGAGTGCAAGTACAGGTTAGGAATAAGCAGCAAACAAATCTGTCAGCTTTTGTCAGTATTTTTACAGCCATAAGATTAGTTGTTTAGGAGATCATGAAAACAAGGGGATACATCTACCGTTAGGTAAAAAATACGGAAGTCACGTAACTGCTGAATCATTAAGTATCTTGAAAAGGTACTGACATGATTCTTTCTTTTTTGAGGCTTCTCTGGGTCTGGGTGAAGTCTGTGACTTACCTCTTCTTCACTTTCTGGGTCCATGGAGGAAGGGGAGGGGGGAGATAGAAAGAGAATAACCCCCTCCCTGTGCAAACGCTGCTCACCTTGGGGTGGATATTGAAGTATTTATTGCTTTCAAAACTCTTCTTCTCACTCTCAGCATAGTAAAGCAGAAAACTTTCCTTAATTATGAAGAACCTTTAAGACAGAAAAAGGAAATAAATTTTGCTAGAACAGAGGTTGTGGTTCACAGCATGAGAAAATCTCCACCTAACTAAAGCTACTTTCTGAGCAGAAGAGTTTACTACTTCCATCTCAGGTGAGGTGCCTCACTTGTGCTTATAGTCAAGAACTAGTGCTTAACACCAAGCATCAAGTTTAAGTACTTTGTGCTTACAGTTTTCCACCACTTTGTGCTTACAGTTTACCACCACAGCATGCATGCACCAGTGTTGAAGGCAAACCATAGCACCATTTACTCACAGCACTCTCTGTCCAAGACAGGACCAAAGATTTTTGGCACCTCTAACTGTTTGCGCTCTATCTAGCCCATGTAGGTTGGATTCAACCCATTGGAAGAGAGCTGCTCTTTTTTTTAAGGGTCTCACACATGGGCTAAGACCAACTAAATGATTATTTTTGCAATCTGTCCCCTGTCACCCTCTTTCCTCCCATCTTGTAGTAAGACAGAAGGGAAGTGTTTTCACTCTAACACCGAGTCATATGGCAGGGAGAGTCACACGCTAGCATCTGCAAGTGACTCTTGAGGTAAAAAACTGGCCACCAGAGCACTCAGGAGCAGAAATAAATTTTAGAGATATTTCTAAGCAGAGCTCCTGGCAAAGTCTTCTGTCATTGACCTTCATAACTACAAAGGAAATTGAATATTTTTTTCTTATGTGTGTAATGTTAAATTATGCCTTGTTCTGCTCAATTAGCCGATATGCCTTGCTCTGCTCAGTTAGCCTTAGGTATGCTCTGATGATCACTGTATAGTAGCCACAAAATATCACAATTTCTGTAAACCGAGCCTCTAATTTACTGGAGCATGCCCTCAAAATTATGATTAAAGGAGTTCCACTTTTAACTTCTTTGGATTTTCAAAATGCCCCTGGGAGAGTCCCTCCTCTCTTCAAAAATTGAGGTTGCATTTACTCTACAGGCAGTGGTACAGGTGAGAGATATATGACTTAGTTTCAATTTGGTCTAAATCTCTGCAGCACTCAAAAATTCTGAAGAGCAGCTGAATAAAAAAATGGGGACAAGTTTAGTAGGGAGGTTTCAAAAGAGTAAATGACAAAGAAAATATGTTGCACTGTTCTGTACATATTTTCTGACATGAGAAACAGGGAACTGGAAAGAAAGTGAAAGGCAGTAAGTTGAAAATTATTAAAGAATGCCTTTTTACACTGCACAAAACACTGCTGTGTAAATCACTTTCATTTGGTCCCAAGGACAAGAGATCATGAGGAAACTGGAAAGGATAAGGCATTTCTTTGAATAAAAAGAACATTCTCAGAAAACCCTCCAGTTTCTGGGAGGGATCAGAAGGAGATTTTCTACAGGTAGTGCTGTCCAATTCTGCAGCCTGAGCATTCCTACACCTTTCCCTGAAGCCACCATCAGTGATGGGCTACAGGCTCAGGGGATTGATCCACAAGGACAGTTCTAATGCCTTCACATGTCCATCCCACTGCAGTCTTCTCCTGAAGTGGATGGGCTGTCAGATGTAGCCAAGCACTGCCTCCAGTACAGATAAGCACAGCAATTTAGTTTAGCAGTTTAGCTCCTAAAGCTAAAGAAAGAAGTCAAAGCTGGCAGAGAATATTATAATAATAAAATTATAATATATAATTATAATAATAAAATTATGCATATAATTATTAACAATAATTATTATAATTATACTTGGGCAAAAGCTTTACCACTTCCATCAGCTTCTATCTCTTGCTTTTCTGCTGTGGGTTTGGCAACACAGATGAAATTGCCAAATGCCATGGAAATATGTGTGCATGGGGCTCTCAGAGCAACCAAAAAACTCAGAACAAAGCTAAACTTCTGAATGACTGTAGCAAATGCAAGCTCTGGACCTACTTGGCAAGTTCTCCAAAATGTGTAAAAGTGTAAAAGTGAGTCATTGAACATATTTACATCCAGAAATCTTCAGAACATACAAACACCAGCAGCAGTTATTGTGTCCCAAATTTTTTCTTCTTCTTGCCCGCTCATCTATACCTGTTGATGTTGGCATCAGAGGCAGGGAGAAGCAGCCAGCTTGCTTCCTCAGCAGGACACTGTCTCCTTATTTGATACTCTGGGAACATCATGGTTGACTGCCCAACCTCACCTCTTGTTCCTGACCACAGCCTGGCAAAACTGCTCTAAGCAGAACAGCACAACTCAGTGCAAAAATCACTCTTCTGCATTGAGCTTATTTAGTTGGTAGAGGACTGAAAAGCTGCTCACTCACAGTGCAGCTGTCCAGCAGGTGATCTGAGTAGGAGAAATTACTATTCACCTTTCACCTGGGTGACCATCTCCCTTCCAGCCTGAACTCGTGCATGTTCCAGTGCAACTCCCAGAGAAGCTGCATCATTCCCTCAGTTGGGAAAGCCAGGTGTGACCCTACCTGTGGTGGCTGTCCAACTTTGAGATATCAGCCCATTTAGCAGATGCATTAGGCACATCTCTGGGGACACATTACTGATAGAGTGGATTCATCAAGGTCTCACTTCTGTGTGAAACAAGGACTGGGATTTTCAGATATATCTGCACTAATGGCAAAGGCAGCCATGACCTCTGCAGCAGGCTCAGAGCTGACCCTGGCCAAGGCAGATATCAGAGAAACCTCCACAGAGCACACAAGGCTTGTTTCTGGTTCCTTCTGTCCATGTCACTTCTGTGAACAGCAGCCTTCCTGATTCATTTTTCCTCCCACCTCTGATCATTAACTCTATAAAAAAGTTTTCTTATGTTATGTCTCTAATGCTTAGTTCAAGGAGAATTTGATTTTTTAGAGGGAAATGTTACCTTATCTGCACAATAAATACAGAAATAACATCTTAAAAAAACAATTCTGCCTGGCCAGTGCTCCTGTGCTTGGTCCAGTGAGTTAATCAGCTACTGTATGCAGAAATATGAACCTAAGGAATAAAAGTCAACACCACACATGAAATGGAGAAAGTCTATTCATCATTTTCAACACTCTTTTCAGTCTGAATAACCTCAAGAAATAGTTGCAAGACAGGTAAACACACAGATCTTTAACTCCATAATTTTTAATCTAAATTTTAACCCCCAGTTAAAGTGAGGCTTTAGTTTGATACATACTTTTTGTTGCTCAGTGCTGCTAATCCTCATAACATAGATTATGCTCCAGTGGAAACCAAAATCAAAACAAAAACAAGAACAAAACATAGCACAAATCTCTGAGAATTGATATGTCTCTCACAGATTAATGAACTTTTAGATCCCTGACCTCACAGATGGGGAAATTTGGAATGAAAACGTACAAAATAAGGGTTTAAAAAGTAATAAGAACAAAATCCCAGTGCATGTAATGAAGGTAAACATTGAAAATCTGGTTAGCTTCTGGACATAATGTATTTATGTTCAGATCACATTCCCTCATCTATATATCCTTACCTGGAAGGCAACACCTAAGCAACCAAGTTCATCACTTTAACTGACCTTCAGGACAAAGTCTCCAAACAACAATACAGGGATAGTTGATGCAGCACAGTGAAAATAGGGATGAAGTAAAGAATCAGGGGAGAGAGTTATATGACTCAAGAGCAAGCTGAAGACTAAAGCAGCAGCTAGGTGAGCAAGAGTAGAAAGGGGAAAGATGGCCAAGGGAGAATGGGAAGAAACACCCAGTTAGGACTGTGACTGGGAGGATAGAGACACTGAACAGATATCTAAAGTAGGCACAGATATGGCAGCATGAGAACATAAGAAAAGGGAGTGCTGGAAAGGCAGGGGAAGATTTTGAATACAAACAAGAAACCAAGATAAATAAGTTATTTAAAAACAGAGCAGAGTTCAAAAAGCCCAGAGAGCAGCAGTGAAGGTAAGAGTGGTGAGATGGCCTGGGACAGCCACCCACACTCCACAGGCAGCACAAGTAATACAAGAGCCATTCACATGAGGTCAACTGCTTTGAGGCACCCATCCCTGCTGCTGGGTCCTGTACTAAGAAACCACTGAAACCACAGTGTAATTAAACTGGAGTAGCAGAGGAACAGTAACAATCTGCATAACTTGGAGGTAAAGCCAGAGCCATGATCCGGCCAGGATTAGAAAAAACAACTCTATACTGGACAAGTAGAGATACCTGATCTCTGAGAATACAGTGCTTTCTTTGCGTCACAGAGGGCTAATGAAATTAATTAGCTAATATTTGTAAAAGTTTTTGATGTGACAACAGCCCGCATGAAGTATTTACAGTATAAAACTGCAGCAGTCTCCTTGGTCCTTCATTCCAACGGTATTTTTCTGGGCACTAGTCCAGGAGCACAGGCAGTGAATCCCAGTTGCTAGATCAGCTCAGTTCCGTATCCCTAGGGACAGCTCAGGAAACCAACGGGCAAATGTTCTTCATTAGCATATCAGCTCAGAGGTCGCAGTACCGTCCCTCACTCTTCCTCTCTCCTGGGAGCTTTACGCTTGCTTTCCTGCCTCCTGCCCTGGTGCCCGGCAGCAGGAGCAACGCCCAGCCAGGCAGGGAGCGGGAAGAGCTGTATGCTTCCCGACAGCAAGCAGCCAAGTGGGAAGTTTACAAGGACGAGAGGGAACCACATGGTGTGCTGGACTCGCAGCCGCACTGTCTCGGCAGCTCCTGCTGCCCCTGTGCTGCATACACACACTTCTCGGTGGCGGTGTGTTTTTCAGGGTTTTTTTTTTTTGAGCGGAAAGCAGTCCTAAACAATTATCCTTTCCATCTGTTCCGTGACCACATGCAATGACTGTTAGTAGTCACTGTGGAAAATAAGATTACACGCATACTTTGCAATGCCACAGCCAGGACCGGTTCAAGAGAAGATGAAATCTCTCTATAAACTGTGCTATGTTTCCCTCCTTCCAGCAGCAACCTGTCATCCCTGATGGATTTACTCAAAAATATAGGAATATTTTGTGTTTTGTTCTCTCCTGTTTTCAATTTCTCACATTCCACCTTGCTTTTCTGATTGATCACAGAGCAGATGCCCCCTCCTGGAACTGTCTCACTGAGCCTCCAAGTCTCCCACCTACATGGTGACAGACAGTTTAGAGCCTGACATTCTGTATGGGACTGGGATTATTCATAGCAGAGAAGAATGTGCCACTTCCTTCCTGGAAAGCTACAGTACCCTATTCATATCACATCCAGGGCAGGTACACACACTGTGCATTTCACTGCAGTTTCCACAACAGGCTGATGCCATTACCAGTTTTGTAATTACAACTTTTGCAGTAGGAGAAAATAAATTGCTTGCTATTTGTTGAAAGGAAGAATGGGGTGCAGTATGGTTGGAAGAGGACCATACGTCAAGGGCTGAGAATATTATTTGCCAAAGCCATTCCAGCAAGAAGCCAGGCTTAGACTGGTCAAAAACATCAGTAAACTTAGAAGATAGTTGCTTTTCTGTTGAAAGGATATTATTTTACAGGGAAAGAAAATTCACATTAGGGATAGCGTTTCTTATCTTGGAGATAGGTACTATGATAGTGGTAATGGCATCTCAAAATCAAGCTCTGGAAGGCAGCATGCTCAGATGTCAGCCCTGGCAGATAAACACAGCCACACTGACCCAGTGTCAGAAGCACCCAGCCTGCTCTAGGGTAGTACCTGGTGTGACAGGCATGCAAATACTTAGGCTTCAGAACAGACCTGTGTGAGCAAACGAAAGGACAGAAGGTGCTCCAGACAGCTGCCTCATGTCAAGTTTTACTGTCCTCACAAGTGCCATTTGACTGCAACAAGACTCTGCTATACCTCCCTTTTCCCAGCATAACCTCTACTGCTGCAAAATTCCCAGCCTTGGGATTTCAATCACCAAAGCACTGGACACCATGCCTGGACTTTTTTACCTTGATCCATAATCTAGTCAGACTCCATCTTTCCCTTAAACACATGACTTTCTTCTCAGTGTCTCCAGAAGCACTGTTGCTACAGCCAAATAAATGGGATCAAGCCAGTAAATTTTATGCATCTCCCAACAGCCACATAAACCTGTCTTCATGGCTGATGGCCTGATGAGATCAATCCTCCCCTTATAAGCTGGTTTACCTCCCGTATCTTGGAAAGATTTTCCTTGGGACCAAGACTGTTGTCCAGTCCAAGATGTCAGGGCAAAATCTACATTGCTCAGAGATCAGATCCTCAACTACATCGAGCAAAAGTCAAATTTTTTTCTTTATTTAACTGGAGTGGGAAACATTTCTTCTTCATTCAATAAAAAAAAAAAAAAAAAAGCCTTTGACCAGCTATCTGTTGCTGGGAATGGTGGGATAAGTAGGGGGAATGGTGAATTGCTCCTTATCCCCACATAATGATTGACTTATAATAACATGCAAGGGTACTTTATTTAAAAGCAAGTCTCTCCCATGATAAAAAAAACACCCAAACATATTGTTCCTACTGTCCCAGTCTTTTAACTCCAGAACCCACTTCCTTCCAAACCCTACAGATTCCCTGTGCTCACCTCTCACTGACCTGTGTCTGGTCCCCAAGGACCTCTGCTGCTGTGCTTGCAACTTATCTTCCATATCATGCCTGCCCCACATCACCTCCCCATCTCTTCCCACTTGCTAGCACTAAAATATTTACCACTTGCCAAAGATGGGGGTGACTTCTAGGAATAGAGCAGCACTAAATAAATAATGACAGAGAGAGCAGAAATGGGCCATTTGCCTGCAAGGAAGCTTTATTAGGAAGAAAGCCTTTTAAGAATGTCTCCTCCATGGCAAATTATGTTCCCCTCCGTTATTCTGTCCACTTCTTTTCCGTAATACAGTCACTTTAGTTTCCAGACATAATTCATTTAAATATCAATATTTGAGAACCGAGTAGGAGCATCAGCACAAATTCATTCCTGGATGAAAATAGGCCACTGGGGGGAGGAAGGGAAGGGAATAAAACCGGCACACAGGTCAAAGATGGCTACAAACATAAAACTGCTTCCCAAGGAAGGTTTAACTATTTTCCAGGCTATGCCATCTTCACAGGTTTAGATTGGACAGCACTGTGGTTACTACACAGAGCAAAACTGGGAAAGGTGGCTTTAGAAATGGATTGTCTGTGTCCAAACTGCACACTGCAGCAAAGAGTAAGTACTTAACCACAAAAGGTAAGTACCAGAGATTCAGTGATTCACATAGAGAAATACACCAACTCTAAACTTAAAACTGACTCATCATTTCAGTATTATAGAACATAATTCTACCCTTGGTAAAAGGTTATAGCAAATGCTTTCCAGCTCCAAACTTCTGGGCTGCTGGCAGACAGCACAGCAGCTTACAACTCTCTAACACCATATGGAAGAGATTCAGTGCCACTTTCTTCCCAGGGAAGAGTCTTCATGTGCTGTTCCAAGTGTGCCATCACTATAAGGCAGCATAGCCGTTCTGATGCTGGTCCACAAACCCCTGCAGACCATACACACACACATACAGACTCACATGCACAGTCAGTTCAGCCTAGCCATCTCACACCCAAAGACTCAAAGCTTTAATGAGTGCTAAAGAACAAAGGCAAGCAGTTTAGGGGCAAAATATATGAGCTGACTCTTCCTCTTTTGTGCAACTATCATAAGATAATTATCCAGAGGAGGCAGCTAGTCCCTATTCCCTGAAGCGCACATAGCACAAGGTCCGGACAGATAAAGAAGGGAGAACAATGGGGTACCACGTGTGTAAAGCTGACTCAGAACAGGAGGGAAGCTATGCCCACAGTTTTAGCCCTAGCCTCTGCCTGGCTAGCCACACTCAGGCTCTAACTTATCCCACAACCCTTAGGCTTTGTATTTTACCCAAGCATCCCTCAGCAACTGTGGCTTACCTCCTGGACCATTTGGCTGACTGCCTCCCAAAGGGTCTCTTCCAGAGCACGCCATACAGCTGCACTTTGGTGCTGATGTCCAGAGCATCTGAATCTGCCTGTTCCATGGACGGAGAAGGGGATACCGAACTGGATTTTGAAGAGAACATTATAGATGAATCTGCTTCTAACTCTCCCCTTCTGTGTGGCAGCTCAGGGAATCCGATTAAATGCAATGAACCAGAAGGACGTAACCAGCCCAGCAGACAGAGAGACTGGGCTTTGGTTTGAATCAATAACTTGACTGCTCAGCACTCAGTCAGTAATTCTCTCCCTGATGCACAGATGATGAGAGTTTCCTCATCGCGTATTACTTCTTGATGCATTACAAACAGCACACATCCCAGCCCAAGGGAAAAAATGAGTGAAGAGAGTCAGATATCAGAAACAGAGAAAGGCAGAAAGAGCTCATCAGAGAGAAAGCTCTCAGCAATAACATAAGCCAAAATACCTCTGCACCAGAGCCAGCTTGGAAGGTTATTTCACTTGACATTGCAGCACTTCATGCAGAAATTAGGGCAAGACGGATGTTTTACTTTCAGGCATCTCTGACACATATTCCCAAAATCTTGCACTTGGAGACAGGTTCTTTTCATTTGTCCTGAGGAAAATGGGGGCAGAGTGAGTGCGAGCCAGCAAGTTCAATCAGATTCCCTCTGTCACCAGGGCAGGGGAGGGAGGCTTTGCTGTGCCAGCCTGGCACTGCCCACCTGGGGAGAGTTCACGTGGCTGCTGGGTTTGGACTGGGCAGCATCCATGCTGCATGCCTTGCTCAGCCTTAAAGGGCCATTGCTGACCAAAGTTAGAACACAAAATTCTGCATGCCTCCATGCCTTGCTGCATCTTGGAGATGTGGCAAGCACAGTCTCTGCTCTGCATCTTAGGTACCAGCTCCTTCTTGGCCACAACACAGACACAGAGAAATATGTCCCACAGTTCGGGTGAGTCTACTTTCATCTCCTGTTTAGCACTCCCACAATAAGCTTTTTAATCTGGGTCCCTAGTCCTTGTTCCTCCCTTGAAACCCTTCCTCCTTGCATAGATACAAAGTCCTCCAAAAGAACCCCTGTATTTTGTAATGCCCACAGGAAAGCACATTAGCATCATATTGTTCCTTCCTGTGTCCTGCCTCCCCTCCAGGATTAGAATTTGTGGAAGAATCATGCCTGCTAAAGCATCTGGGTTTTTGGTGCATTATATAACCAATACAGACACATACATGCTGCGTGGCATGTATGTCATAGATGCTGAGGCATCTGCTCCTGTTTTAACCTGTGCCATCCTCCATGTATCGATTTTGAAGCTGTAATTGCTGGATGTCAGCCCTTCCCAATGCAGTTATTCAGAAGTGACACAGTGCAGACATATGGTCCTTTCTCATCCCCAAGGATCAGGAACTTGGGACACGCTGTAGGCTAGATCACATCACTAGACACAGGTTCACTTAACTTATATGGTCAGAGGCACTTGCAAGGCATCCTAAATAGAGGAAATGCAGACAGCCTGCCTCAAGCTCACAGACTGCATTTGGTATCAGAGAAATTAAGAGATGCAGGTCCCTGATAAAAGTCACTATTGATCACTAGATGAAAGAGTCAGCAAACTCAGTGCTTTGTTACTTTCTCTCACCCTGGCTTTGACTGACTTTTTGGTCCCAGACAGGACATGTCCCGAGCAGTAGCAAAGCCCATCACTGAGTGACACTAAGGCAGAGGGTGGAAAAGAGGGGAGAGCAGCAGATACTGCCTCTGTCCCACCTCAGTTCCAGCTCTTGAATAAAACACTGCATTGCAGAAGAGAAGCATTAATGCTGTAGACACCATTCCACACACTGCACCAAGAAGGAAATACTACTCATAAACAGGAGAGGGAAAAGTTTCCCTGGAATTATGTTGTGCAAAGAGTAAAAAGGATTCTGGGCTCAATGGCATAACTTTACAAGAGTGCAGTGAAAAGCCAGAGTTCCCATGTAAGGATGATCCAGCACCCCTGCCATTGTACTGCACCAGTGATGCAAAGATCTGACAGCAGTGACCTACAGTGAGGAAAAGCAGATTTTCATCCTTTGCTTCTTTACTTGTTTTTACTTTACACAGACTAATAAAGAGGTTTCTAGATTTGAACATCAAAAAACTGAGATAAATTTCCTCTGAGTGAAAAGGGAAGGGGCTCACTACTCAGCAAGGGACTGAGTAGTTACAGCAAGTTCTTTAAAGTCAGCAGTCTGAGGGTGGGAAAGTGCAACTTGCTTTTGTCAAGTGACCAAGAGTTAAACACAGGTAGAAGCAGCAATGCTAGGGCAGTAGATAGCAGCAAGGTGAATTTTGTAACTAGCGGTGTCTGGACACAATAATTTGTAGTAACAGTTGTTCTGTTAACATCTTATTTATGTCTGTACTATTCTAATGAAGCTGGGGGCCTGTCTAAAGGAAAGAGTAGAGAGCAACAGAACAAGTCTAAGCAACCTGCCTCACAAACAGGAGTAATGTCCTAAGGGCCAGCTTAAAGGTTCTTCAGTGCTACTTCTGACAGATGCAAAACCTACTTTTTCTGGCCATAAATTTTGGGATCAAGAAAACAGTGTCATAAAACCCAGATGGTCACAGGTATAGCTAACCCACAGTATGACAGGAGACTAAAAGGACTTCACTTGTCTAAATGAGAGCAAAGGGGGAAATTTGACTGCTGTCTAGTTTTAGGCATTATTTCCCCTCTTAATGTACTGGTAAAGGTTGATGCTTGCAAGAAAACAAATTGGCCTAAATTGGTCATGAAAAAACGAGAAAGGAATTAACAATTGCTGGAAGAGGATTGTGGAATTGCTATGCAACAAGCAGCAGAGGCAGAAAGCCATTACTTGGTGGGGTCCACTACGTGCACAACAACCTGGGGTAGCGGTACCTTCCAGGGATACAGACTAGGCTCATGTACCTTCTCTGAAATCTTTTTGTTTCAGAATAATAATTTAAAGATTGTAGATGGCTGTTTCACTCTTGATGGCTCATAAGGGAAAGAAACACAGCTGTATATCTTGGAAAGAAAGCACTGGAGCTTTAATTAGAAGGCCTTTCTGTGGAATGACAGGTTGCACTGGCATAGGAATTATTTTGCTAATATGTTGTCTCTATTTTCCCTACACATCAAGCCAATAAAATTTTGCTAAAAATAAAACCTTTGAAGCAGACACCAGTGCAAGCTCTACAGAAGTAACACTTCTTCACAGAATCACAAAATCTTCTGAGTTGGAAGGGACCTACAAGGATCATCAAGTCCAAATCTTAGCCCTGCACAGGACATCCTCAAGAATCACACCGTGTGCCTTCATCACCCTCCAGCTGGAAGATGCTCCCTATCAGTTTAAGGATACAAATAATGGCTAACTGCAGCTGCTGAGGAGGCTTGTATTTTTTTTTTTAAGTGAGAAGTTATACCTTCATGTTCTGGGCAGCCTTACAATAGTACATTGTGCAGAAAAGAACAAACTATTTATTGGGCTGGGGCTAGTAAGTTAAGATTTGGATCAGAGCTGCTGTGGAGTTGGAAAGATTCAGATCTTGCCTTCCAGTATGGATTCCTTTTTCTCTTACAGCTTCTGATAGGTTCCGTAATCATTTTCAATCCAGAGAACCATTAGAAGTTATGGAAGGTATTAGCAAGTACCTGGAACAATGTAGAGAAATAAAGTCCAGCTCAGGTTTTATTTATGATACATCATTCTTGCAAAGACAAAATGCCACATGTATTCCTCAAAGTGATGCTCCAGCTTCCCAGACGCACAGCAGTGTGCAGAGGCTATTTTTAACAGAACAAAAGAAACCACCATCAATCCACCTCTAGTCTGATACACTGACAGAGCATGTTTCTTTTGCACATGATTGAATTTTCAGTGTCAGATGGGAAGCCAGAGCTGTCCTGTAGAGCTCAAAGAAAAGAGTTACTTACTCAGCAAACAGGCATTAAAGTCAAGTGCCTTTGTAGATTTGCAGCCTCATCTGACATCACCCATACAGATGTATAATCCCATTTGACATCATCCCTTGGTTAGAACTACTTGGTCTTAGTCACCTTTTCCAGCCAAAGACCTCCACTGGTCCCAGCCCTTCAGACCCACCCAGATCCATGTTGGATAGCCCAGGCGTTATATTAATCCAACTATTAGCTGTGGATATAGCACTACTTCAGGAATCTTACAGGAAGACAGAAAGTAAGACATCAGTTTACTGAAGCAAAGAAATTTGATAGCAAGCAGCCACACACATAGCCTGGCTTTTGGGGGGTGGCTTTCTCAGGAACTGACACCACAGTCAAAGACCATTTCTCTTAGCATGTAAAGGAGTTAATTTCTTTTTTTTTTTAAGTTCTACTAAGAGATCTCTTCTGGAAGAAAGCTCATTTATTCTGGTCCTTTGGGTTTTTTTAATAAAGATTTCTGCTAAATAGTTATTTTTCAGGGCTTCAGAATACATTACAGTGGTCAGCTACATTTGAAAGCTTTCTCCAGAAGATAGCACAGAGCCTTCTGCAAGACACCAGTTTTGCCCCCATCAAGTCTAAACACCAAAGTGATCACACGGCTGACAGAAAATGCTTAGAGCTGCAACAGTTAAATAGGCTGCTTCTAACAAGCAGCTTGTTCAACACCAGTGAATAAATACAGCTCTACTTGTTTTCTTTTTTTTCCTGCAGATGATGAACTCACCAGCACACACTCCCTTCCCTTCCTCCCTGGGGAGGGGCAGTGCTGCACGCCCACAAGTTGCACTGCTCCAGCAGCCCCAGCCGGCCACATCCCAGTCCCATTCCTGAGGCTGTGGGGGAGCACAGTGGCCATGGGAATGCCCCTTCTCCTGAGAGGGCAGCTGAACCTTCATACACAGGGACAGCAAAGAACAAACCTTTCCCCAAGAAAGTTTCTTAAGTGTTTAGAGCTGGTTACCTTGCTGTTTGGCACACAGCAATATCTATTCACCTTTCCAAGAGCATTTAATTTTACCTGCATCTTAACTGCTTGTGATGAACACTACGCAACTCAATCCCAAATGTGACAGTAGCAACAGTAGACAGTTACCAAGTACATGGTTTGACCAGGTGAAACAGCTGAGCAGAGATGGCTTAGCCAGATGTAGTGGGTTGACCTTGGCTGAATGCCAGGTATCCACTAAAGCCACTCTCTCCCCCACCTCTGCAACTGGATAGAGGAGAGAAAACTACAACAAAGGATTCATGAGTTGAGATAAGGGAGAGGTCACTTACTGCTCACCATCATGGGCAAAACAGACTCAAAGTGGGGATTTTAAATTTATTACTAACAAGGACAAGATATACTTCTTGCCTCCTCCCTGTCCACATTATCAAGGAGTTATCTAACTACAAAGGCACAAAAATCTACTAGTGCCATCTATCACAGCAGCAGACCATGAGAGCTCTACTGTAAACCCTGCTGTGTTGAGGAGAATCATCAGCCACATGAAGGATAAACTGCCTGGCAATGAAAGATATCAAAGACATTGCTCTCCACAAAAGACAGCAGGTGAAGAGGGTCATCTCCTCCTTCCCCCATCTCCTTTTTTTCTCCTGTGAGCCATGCTACTACACAGCCTTTGTAGATCAGGCTTCTTTCATACTGCTGAAGTTCAGGTTGCAGGAATGAGCATAGCAAAACTCCTGGGCACACCCACTACCTAGTCCTCCATGTGCACCTAATCACCTTCATGAGAAGCATCTGAAGAGGTATCAAGAGTACAAAGTTTTGTTCAAGGTCATAAAGGAAGAACAGAGCATGGGAAATGCATTGCAGCCCTAAACCAATTTGTTCTACTGATAGCATCATACTCTGGAGGCAAGAAAAGCTTGACTAAGAGGTGTTGCAGTAAGAGTCATTCCAAGTAGTAGCAAGGCTTGTAAGCAGGGTTTTTAGCAGCCCTCTTCAACCCAGTATAGCCATAAGTATCTCATTTTAAGTGTTTCTTCAGATAGCAGAAGCCCATTAACCCCCCCCCCAGACTTCAACATAGCTATAATCATATATCAAAGTAATTACCACTTCAGACACTGGTTGGCCATAGAGATACAGAACAAGCTTTTTTTCCTTTAAGATTTCACTCTGCTTTTAGATTTTCTAAATACTGTATCCTTTTGGTGCCAGTCAGTAGGATACAGCTTAATTTTAATTAGCTCTAAAAGTTTTTATGAATGAGGCATTTTTCTTTATCCACCTCCCCCCCCCATCCACCATAAGGGTTTGTTAATCTCTAGACAACTCAGACAAGAGGGAGAAGTGCTGTGATAAGGAGGGTGGAATGTCGTGCAATTCTGCCAGCAGGGATACTCGGATAAGGCTTGCACATAACAGTAGAAGAAAGACTTAATTTGTAAGATGGAACAATAAATGACAGCTCATCTTCTTGCTGCTGTGCTCATTCTAATGAGTCTCTCATAAAAATGCTCATGTACATTTTTTTTTCCTTAACAAATAAAGGAACACTACAGCAATCGTCAGGAAGTCTGCACCACCACAGCTCCTCAGTACTTTAGTTTGTAGTGGTAAGACTTGTTACATTAATGGACCAAAAAACACTTCCTCACATCTCCAAAAGGATTTACCACAGACTATGGTGGTTTAAATTTGTTACCGAGGTGACATATTTACTAAATACACTAAAAGAATGCTAATATACTGTATAATACTTCACTATTAAAACTGAATTTTATTTGCCAAAAAAACCCAAGAGCTTTTCTGGGGAAAAATAATGGCTTCCCATCCTTACTGCCTTACATCTGCCTGTAGTAGCTATAACAGCACCACTGTCATTTGCTTCTCCTACTGACTTTAATCATATTCTCTTGTGCTTAAGCCAGTATAAAGAGATTACACTCTTGCTTAATGACACAAGTCCTATGAACTACCAGAAAAATCAAAAGTAAGCAACTGTCTGAGAGGATTGCTTATTGCTGGAGTGAAAGACCTAGAACACTGTGTGACAGAATCTTAGGTAAGTCTGTAGATAGCAAGTCCAGGAGAAAAACATAGATTCTTTTTTTTAATTAATTGCTTACGAATCATCTCAACCAAGGGTATTTCTTAAATGGATGTGTGACGTTTGCAATGTATACATCACTCATCCTATAACCTTCCCCTTCCTCTTTTATGAAAATGAAGGTCTAAAACCCGATCCTGCTTACAGGGCAGCTGGAAATTATGGAGAACAGTATCTATAAACTGTGTCAACTCAGCAGCTGCAAGAGACATCTCATCAATGTATACAAATACTTGAGAGGAGGGTGCAAAGAGGATGGAGCCAGGCTGTTTTCCGTGATGCCCAGTTACAGGAAAAGAGGCAACCGGCACACGCCAAAACACAGGAGAGTCCTCCTGAAAGGTTTTTTACTGCAAGCATTACTGAGCACTGGCACAGGCTGCCCAGGGAGGTTGTGGAGTCTCCCTCCTTGGGGATACTCAAAAGCCATCTGGACATAGTCCTGAGTAACTGGCTCCAGGTGGCCCTGCTTGAGCAGAGGTGTTATTGGACCAGATGACCTCTGGAGGTCCCTTCCAGGCTCAACCACTCTGCAATCAGTGCTCTAGACCACATTCAATTAGTGCCTCCCCACAATATGCTAAGGAACTTGGCACACTGGCAAGTACCATTGCCACAGCATGGAGGTGAAGACCAGCCTGTTCCTAAGCTGCTCAAGGGGTTGTCTCACTCTCTAAAATTGCTTTAAACTATTACCCCTTCCTGCATTGCTCCAGTTGATAGTTTTATCATGCAAGGTCAAGTGACAAAATTTCAGATCCCTCGCTTGCAAAACCCAAGCCCCGCAGACCCACCTACAGATCTGAAATGCCTATGCAGGTGTTTCCTTAGGAACTGCCTTGTGACAGGGAGTCCACTTCCTAGTTATTCCAAGTATCCCAACTCTGATTCTCATCCTTGCCCTAAATCCTGGCAGTAGCAATAGGATGCTGCAGCAGTAATAACTTTCTTCTGCAAAACCCTAATATAATACACACAATGGGACATGCTTTGGCAAGAGACAAGCACCCTTGCTCTTCCAATTCATCTACTGATTTGAGCCCTACATGTGTTTTAAAATGTTAAATCTAGTCCCAACCAAGTTTGGGAAAGTAACAAAGTCAAAGGTGCCTAACCGTGGCCATTCTTTAAAGTTGCATCTTGCTACATAAACCATTAAATGTCTTTTTCTAAAAGTTTGCCCCTTTTATAATGACAGCACACAATGTGCAACTCACTGGATTTTTCAAAAATCTCTTAATAAAATCTGCAAACCCTAAAAATGTGGCATAAAGTGTTTTATAGGAAAAAAACCACAGACTGCCCTGCAAGCTTTAGCTCTGATAACAAAACAGAATTAATTTTCCAAGCACTCCTCCTAACCCCTGCCTGAGCACCTCAGAGACCAGTACAAAAATTTAATATCCTACTACACTTTGCCACTTTAAATTTATGTCAGAGCCAAATAAGACTCAGAGAAATTCAGAAGCCTGAGAAGACAGTTTTTCTTCACAGCAAGAGCACAATCCCCTCTCAGTTACAACCACCATGACTGACATAAGAGGAACACTTAGCTATGGCTCAACAGGCTGCAGGAGGAAGGTGAGCTGCCTAACAGAGAAACTGCATTAACAATGAAGGCAGAGAAACACTAAGAGCTGTAAATAGTAAGCAGGAGGATCACAGAGCAGCAACAAGGAAAACCGAGCAGTGATTCAGTGCCTGGAAACAGCAAGAAGATAGGAGGCAAAATACCCAACAACAAACCACATAACAGGGGCAAGAAAGATTTCACCAGCAGTTTCGCCTGTAAGACAAGAACAAAAAGTGGGGTGGGTTTCAAAGTTGACTTTTAATCCAAATTCCACAAAAGCACATATATGTATGTGAAAGGCTACTTTGTCACAACGTCCCCAAAAAGAATGCAGGGACTTAGCATTTGCATTTTGGGTTTGGGACTGACACAACTGAGAGCACAGGTTGGAGTCCTTCAGCCTTTTAACAGTGGCACGGAGCAACGTTGCAGCAATCATCTCCTTGTGGCCCTCCAAAGAGGTCTCTGCCTAGTAAGCTTGAGAGATTTCCCTGTGGGTGGGGGAAGAGATAGCTTTGGGGCAATGCCAACTCCTAAACCCTGGGAGAGACAGGAGTTGCCAAATGCCCCTCTCAAGCAGAGCTGTCAAATCATATCTGCATCAATACCTTTAAACCCATTCATACCTATATCCAAATCAACCTGCTAGACTGCCTCCCAACATGCAGTTTCAGTCCAGGCTTCCAGGAGGTGCTGGAAGAAAAGCACAAAAATAAAATGTACTGTCTGCACCGCTCGCATCCCATTTAAGACTTAATTTCCCTTTGTCAGAGGTATCACAAAACCCCATGCAGTAAATGACAAGCCAACTCCAAAGCACTGCACCTAGTAAAAATTTAATATAATAAAACAAATTGAAAACGGCAACATTATTTTAACCATTCACAATTAAAGTGGAAAAATTATAAGGCAGCCATTCATGGAATGATTTTGTGTACAAATGGTTTGGAAAAAAGACATTAAAATTACAGTTCCATACATGGAGTCAGGTAAACAGCAATGACCACGCAATGTTTTTCCCTGGAAAGCCAAGGCTGCTGAGAGATATAAGAACAGTAAGAAAAAATATTATTTTTTAAAAGAAGTTTGATGTGAACAGGAATCTGAAATTCATCATAAACTTTCCCACCAATCTGCAATCACTTCTCCTTCTCCCTCCACCCCCAAAAGAATACAAGTACGTTTCCCTCCTCTTCTTCCCAAGTCCCAGTACAGAACAGGAAGGAACCAGCAGGAACATTTATTCCACAGCATCTCTCTTATTCTGCATTCAACTGATGCCACACGGACGCATCTGCTACCGTCAAAAGCTCCTTGAAGGCTCTGAACTAGTTCCTGAATAATTATAGTGGTTTTCCTGGGCCTCTTGGATAATAGTAACCTTTTACACAATCCACCTGGAAATGGTTTTTTGAAGTCAACGGTGGGTTTCTGTGTTTAATACCCAGCTATCTGACAAGCCACAAAAATCAAAAAGTCCTGTCTAGGTGTGACAGTTCTGCCATCCTCACTTAAATTAATGTCCGTACAGCTTCTGCATCTGTCATCAAGTGCTGGAAAAGAAGTATTTCCCTTCTTTATATAAGGAATAATAAAAGCATTAGAACAGTAGGGAAAGTACTTGAACAGACCAGGATCAACAGAAATAGCTTTAGTCCAATTCCTATTGCCAATTAAGAAATCATTAACTGAAAAAAATCAGGTGATGACAAGATTATGGATTTCCTGGAGGGATTTACAGAAGGAAAGGGAGACATTTAAACATTACCTGCTAGACTTGCTGCCATCTACCTCACAGAAGAAAAAACAAGCAGAGATGGCTATTACAGAGAGAGTAAGAGGAATTTGTTTGTACCAAGGTCCCCTGAGGAGTAGAAAATGATACCAGATGGCCCTCACTACACTCAATGCTTGGATTTACTGTGACAGATGGGGAGATAGGTAAAAAAAGGTTATAATAAAATGGGCCATTTCTTTTAACTCATTAAAATACTCTGCTTCAAGAAAATAATCCTCTATCTGGTACTAACAATTTGGAAAGGTTTGATAATTCAAAATGTTACATTCTCCTTATCACATAACCAAAAGTTTCTTTAGTCACTGCAGTTTCAGTTACAGAATTTAAAATAATAATTCCACACAGAGATAACAGAGGCAGCCAAAACAAAATGCTGTTGCCATTTCTGAAAAAGAAAAAAAATAAAAACCACAGAAGTCTTCTATCACTTAAGTGCCACAATGAAAAGCATGTTGTCAAAATTTTTGTGCCAATTTTAAGTTGCCAATGTTTTCATTCCAAATCCCTCACCTGCTGCTGTAACTTGGATTCTATACTTCATGAATCATTAAACTGAGTATTACTATTTCTGATGGTTGCTCCAGAAACTGGAAACATGATCTGAAGGACAGGAAAATAGAAGGATGACAAGATCTTTTAACAGTGGCACCTATGATTAATATGTCAGAGGTTATATTAGCAGTGAAATCACGTCCTGGTCAATACACACTGATCCTTAAAAGAAGGTACTATCCACATGCTCTAACACTGGAACAAAAGGCATAGAATAGGACCTTAGTTATATACCTCCCTAAACCATTGCTATTGTTATACACAAAATGAGGCTGAAGTGGAATGCAGTCGGGATGCCCCCTTAACTCCCAGGGCAAGGTGCACATGCAAGTGACAGATAAGAGCTTAAAGAATAAAAATTTACTGCTTTACTAAACATCAGCACCTAGTGCTGCACTAAGCTATCTCCTGCTTCTGTTACTGCTCTTGCAAACCCTCCAGGTTTGGAAACACTTATATGGAAAAATTAAGCAAGGTAAAATAGTGAGATTATCAAGGAAGAAATTAATTAGTGAGAAATCAGGAAGGACACTGGGACTTCTGGTGTAAACATCCCTGTGTATCATTTGCACATGCTAGAAACCTGTTTCATTGAACTTTTTTAACCAGTAACTTACTAATTGCATATATATGTTGTAAAAAACCAAACAAAACCATATAGGAATGCACAGGAGAGGATCTCATCCACGTCATTAATTTTGCAGTGGCTTTTCAGAACACAGAAGGTCTAATGCAAAAAATGCTTGTTTAGGCCTAAAACACCAATTCTACCTGAAAATACTGTCTCATGGGGAAAAATGATTTTTAATAATTTTGCATGGATTTTTATGTAGTAAAAGACACGAATAACAAGCCGTCCTGGGAATCAATACCAGGTTCAATCCTAGGATACACCTGTATTGTTAGAAAGCCAACAGACAGAGCAACCAGCAGTCCAAGAGCCAGGCCAAACCCATAACTGAACTAACAGACAAACAGAACAATGACAAAAATGGGAAGAAGAGGCACAATGGGCTGTGTAGTATAAGTAATAAACGGCATCAAAACCAGACACTCATTCAAATGGAAACAAGAAGCACTTCAGTTAAGAAGATATTTCAAGCCTTGACAATTCATTTCAAACAAAAAAACAATCAAAAAGAAAAATATATTTGGCAATGTTATCTTTAAAAAGTGCAGACAAAGTACAGTTTAAAACAGGTATGGCATTAAAAAGTTTTCCCCTAAAGAAAGAATGTTATGCTGATTCTGTGCATGTCAAGAACTCCTGACTTTTCAATGCACTACAGTTACTAGAGTGTAATATATTCTGAATAACAGAAATGGTGCCTGACAAGACAAAGCTGTGCCTGGGAAATAGAGGGTTCCTTCACCACTCCTCTGCAGTGAGAGACATCATGAATTGGCAATAAGTCCTTCAGTAGATTCACCAAAACTAATGCTTCTCAATAAGAGGTGAATGAACAATTCCCAAAGGAAGAACAAAATGTCTAACAAGTCCACTGGGAACCCACCAGTTTGGTTTTCTGTTTGTTGGGGTTTTTTTGTTCAGAACTGCTTTAGAAACACTTTGTACTCTATCTGCAGCATAAATATTTAACTAAACATCTAGTTTTGTTATCCTTTATACCTTTTATTTAGTGAAAAACTCACACAGCCCTCCACTGATTTCAGCAGTTCGGACTTTTGAAAATGAGCTAGTAAAGTTCTCTGGTCCCTTAACTGCTGTCTCCATCAGATTTCTACTCCCCAGAGCCCAGAACAGCTCTATTTCAAAGGGCACTATGGGTATTTCTCTCAATAGAAGCAGTAGTGTAATCATAGTACCCAAGATGTAATTCCTGCTAACATTTTTGGTGCTTAACACATGACTGACTTGGAAGCAGACCATCTCCCAAGAAAAAGTGCCTTTTTAGAATTTATTAACCATTGGATAAACAATCAAAACACTGTTCTCCTTGCTTCTATCCTTTGTCTTAAATAGTGGAATACACTGCAAAATTCACTTGCACTTTCTTAACCGGCTGATTCTTAGTCTAATCCTACACTTTGTCTACATAATTTCTTTCCTATCAAGTGACTCTTCTGTGACAACAGCAGTGTTATCCAGAGTTCCAAATGTAGCCCATTGCTGCAATACAATTAGTGACAAACAACACAAGGACCAGTTATGTTGCCAGGACAGCGCAGAACCGATAGAGCAGAGCCCCCTTCTTCATCAGTAAGACTTCAACCTTTCATAATGCAGCAATCCGTGGTTTTTACCCTCAGCTGTGAAAGCTGAACTGCAGGATACTTTGGTGATTGCAATTTCGTGATGAGTTGCTATGTTCTTCCCTGCTTACCTTCCTTAAACTTCAAATTCCATCTTCCCTGAGAATAGGGCCAGAAGTAGCAATTAAAATAGCAAATGTCTTCAGAAGAGAAAGTTACATAGAATTTACGTCAAGTTGCCAAAGTACATTTTGCTACACTAAAAACTTTCCTAGTATTCCTCATTTTGCAATCAAGATTCCCTCTGAACTCCATACAGTGGATGGGATGGATGATGGATAAGAGACAATGGTAAAGGGAGCAGCTGACATTTTACTGCTCATGTCAGATCAAGGAGGAGAACAGTGAAATCTGAGCTTTTAGTGATGGTGTCCAATAGACAAAACTAGAGGAATAAGGCATCCTAATACTAGGGCTGCCACCTCCAGACGACTGAGTCCTTTTCCTCCAGTTGTTTCAGGTTTGTGGCTATGAGCAATTCCTCCTACTTCTGGAAGGACATGAACTGTGGCAACGTAAAGAAAAGTCCCAGCAGAAAACAGCATAGCAACTCCAGTGGCATTGACTTCTGAAAGAGCTTCTTTGCTGCTCTGAAACACAAAGAGCAAAAGTGAGGATAAGCGGAAGTTCTTCAATGGGTAACAAAAAAAAATTCTGTATATGTCCAGACACAACAGGATTTCTATGAACTCTCTTCTCTCGCAATGACAAGCATGTTCTTTTGTGTCTTGCACCTTACATGTAGTAACAGGCACTCTAAAGTTGGGGGGGGCAGAAAGACACTCCTCATCCAAGTTGCTTCACTTTGGACTTCTTGCAAAAGAAAAAAAGTCACAGTCTGTGCAGAAGCATCTTGTTTGACCATCTCACAACATACAAAACATGTTTTGAAAAAAAAATAAAGTTGATATTGCAAAGCCAAAAATTTTAGGAAGAACATTCAAGATTGGTTTTTTCCCCCCTTTTTCTAAACAAAGGGTTCAAATAAGATATTAGTCTTTAAATATCTGGTGTTCAGAGCCAAGTCCCAAATCATCACTCATTCAATATTTCATTTGTATGTAGAAGGAAACCCCTAAAACTTTTCCAGAATTTCCATGCAAACTTCATGAAGAAATGCAACTTCTGGATCAAAACTGAGCACCTCTCCACATTCATACTAGGATTAAGATCACGCTACACATCAGTAAATGTAATGAAATGCAAACCCACTCATATCAGATTCACATGCTTCTTGAACACTTTTCAGCTCAGGTGTGATCTTAGTTCTCTGGTACATTCTTGGGTCATTTTTTCAAAGAGCAAAGATACATCTTCATCTGGAACTATAAAACTCCTGTGACAGCCCTGATGCCTTATCAATTCTCTGTTCTTGCTGAAGCGCAAAATGCAAACCCAACTCTTGATGAGCATGCTTCAAAAGAATGCTCAAACAGAATTCTTATTTCCATTTACAAACCCAACCCTTTTTTCTGCTGCCTCTTGCACTGTAATGTCAAATATAATTCCTCTCTGGCAAGTAAAGGGATTAGCCCAGATGATTTATTTAATCTTTCCTCTCATGCCTTGGGTTTTGTGAGATCATGTTATACTCTTTACAACACATGCCCACAGTGTGTCACCAGCATGACCCACAGCAATTTGGAAATACAGGAATGCCAAAAGATATGCTATAAGAAGCAGAAACATTTAGTTAGGACAGAGATGATAAACCCATGTGCAGTGGCTCATTTCACAGGCCATTTGTTGTATAGACCCAAGACAAGACTATGCTTTAAGGAGTAAGAGAGGCAAAAAGGCTGTTCTAGCTGAGTATTCAACTTCTGACACAGACTTTGAACACAGAGGACCACTTCTGGGATGGTAGGGGAAACTAGCAAAGATTATTTTCTACCTGCACATTAAAAGAAGAATGCATGCAACAATGCTGAAAATTACATAGTTAAGTAGGCATCTGATAAAGCCTGGTATATGAGTAAGTTGTTCTCAGTGGAGAGCAACAGAAAGTAGAAAAGACAGAAATCAGACTTTTAAAAAAAGCTATACAAAACTCTGTAAAGGCATTATATCACTGTGATGGAAAGCATGGGTTATTTGTTTTGTGCATTCATGTTGCTACCTTTTCATCAACTTTTTTTAAAATCTCCATTCTGCTAAATTTTTCAAGCAGTTTGGAATTTTGTTATATGAAAATCATGATATTCCTTTCCCCAAACTCCAGCACTAAGCTAGATTTTGGGCAGAACAAGATCACAGACCTACCTTGCTTAGCCCTAGGTATGTCACCATCGACATAACAGGTGCTGCCAATGCAAAGACCAGCAAGTGTTTTCTAATTCGATTCCGTTCTAGCCCCGCATGCATCAGGAAGGAGACCAGGCCAAAGGCAGCTGGTGCCTGCAAAAAAACAATACACACTGGTAATACAATACATTCTAAAACCCCTTGAAATATGAGAAAAAGTTGAAATACAACTTACTATGAAATGTACTGAATTGGAAGAAATTCAGGACGAGCACTAGTATGTTGCAGCTAACCCAAATAAACCATCAGTTCTGCAGACCACCCCATCTTAATAACTGTACCTAATGGAAACTCACACTCTGGCTATCAGAAAACACATACCTGTGTAGTCATTATAAATATTAAAATATTCATTCTGACTTGAGTCATTGCTATAATCTCCAAGTTTCCATTAACTTCGGTAATTTCTTTTCTTGTTACTACTACACATCCTTAGATAGAGAGTTTCTTTATCTACAGCAGAAAAATTCTAAAATTAACACGAGGAGGGAAAAAATTGCCCAAAGACAGGTAACTGTCAGCCTCCATGTTAACAAAGACTTAAAAGGTCTTTTGATTACTTCATCATTCAGTTTCATTCCTGTTCCCATCAGGTAGCAAACAAACAATCCCTTCTCTCTCTGCTGACATCCAGTTTCTTATCCAAAAGGCATAGCTGTCCTACTACTCATGAAATTTACTATATCTTTGCTTGCATAAAGACAATAGCAAGCATGACATTTTTTATGTCCTACATTTTTTATGTAGGTCGCTAAAATGCACTGAGCATTTTTATACATAATCTTTTTTTTTTTAAACATAGAGGATGGAAACCATGAGTGAAAGAAAAAAGATGAGAAAGACAAAAGCATCAATCAGGATAAGAGTAGGACAAAGACACCAGAGAAGAAATACATTTCCCTTCAAATACCAAATATTTCATAGGAGTAATTTTCCTCTTCTAAATTTGTACAATTTCAGAAGTCAGTTAATTTGAACATTAAGAATAACAAAAGTTTCAATTAGCAACAGCCACAAATTAAGCTTCACACAAGATGCAACGTTGACATCACCACCTCTGAGGAGGGTTACATAAGCCACAGTTTCTTGTATGAACACTGAAGAAAAGACATACTAGATGTGGGTTCCCTAACATTTTGAACATGTAATTATACAAGCAAGTTATTCAATAATGTATGACTAACTACTGTAATCCATCCATGTGTTACCATAAGGCAAATAGGCATCTGCACATGTATATTTAGAGCCTTTACATTTGCACAAGTATTAAGGAAAGATCTTCCCATCTTCAAGAGCTATTGTTTGCTTGTTACCAGCAGAAACATATTTAATTTTTTTTCCTGCAGTCATCGCATATGACTGATGTTGAAACTACTACAATAACAGACGTAACTAGAAGTTGTAATTTAGTACACCGATATTGAGTGGTTTCAAAAGACTAACCCTTTAAACACTAAAACCCTTCAAAATAAATATCCTTTCCATTTTCTTAAGAACATCACAGAACCAAAAGATTTGTAATCAGCATAAAACTGCTTTTCCTCCTTTAATGCCCTAGCATATATTTCTGTGCTTCACTTCTCTGGATACATCTCTTACAGCAGTGAGAATCTATAGGGCTTTTGTTTGTTAAAACAACCAAACACTACCACACTAGCTTCTGAAGAAGTGTGAAGCTGACATTTCTTCATGAGTTATTATTCTCTCCTCACTTTTGGGAGACTTGTCCCAGCCACTGCAACCAAGGTAGGCAGTAGGCAGTCAGATTTCTCTTTCATTTGTACCCCATTCAGACTTAGCATCAATCATTTGTTTTTCCATCATACATCATACCAGCGCTTTTTGGTCCCTGAAACTGTACTATTAACCTGTTTATTTCAATGGCATTACATCACTGAGGAAACTTTAGATCTTTAGCAATTCCTCTGTGCTTTAGTACTTTTGAAGAGCAAGTAAGATTTTTTTGGATGATGACTTACCTTGTGCAACATAATTGCAACAAACACTATCAACTGGACACTAGTCTGAGAAGTAGAAGCTGCTGCACCCAATGCAACACCATCAGCTGAAAAAGGAGTGCAAATTCATGGATTATTCCTCCACATGAGCTTCCCCACCCCCTCAACGGCTGACAGTAAAAACCATGTTGATTTAAGAAGTTGTTATTCAAAATGCCATTAACAACAGCAACTCAACACTTGCCTTTGTTTGTTAAGCCACAAGATTTCAGAATATCAGACAACCCTCAACAGGAGCTGTCTCATATTTCCCAAGACCATGAAAACCATACTGAGAATCTACTCAGGATTGATACATCCTTTCAAATTAGAACCAGGTAACAAGTTTAGTTGTTTTAGTCTTCTGTAGTAGAACAAGCTTCCTGTCTAAATTAAAAAATAATCAGTTTTATTATTACCCTTTAAATGATTTTTCAAATATAACTATTGTAAATAATTTTTTATCATTTAACATAAATATATTGTCTAAATGAAACAGAAAACGGATACAATATTATTCCTTAATATATAGACACTTTGTTTAGTGAAGAAGTATCTTTTTGATCAACATCTGACTTCCCTAGACAGTAACCCTCAGTAGAAGATTAAAAAGCATCATATTTATACTACATATCAATCAAGAATAAAAATGATCTAATTATTTCTGCATGAGTTGACTGCAACACATGCACAGTCAGTCTTTGCAAGTTGCACTGTGTTTCAGTTAAATCTTTGTGCTCCACCTTACGTCTTTTTTCCTACAAGATACTATTTTTTAAATTAGTATTTTTAAAAAAAACCACAGGTGAACCAACAAGCAAACCCAAAGGTGTTTCATACTACTTATCAAACGCCTTAGCATGTACTGAAATTCAGCAGCTAGAGGAGCCAGCAAAGGAACCGAAGTGGCAGAGAATGAGCATCACACAACCTTTCAAATGGGAAAAATAAAAGAGTGAAAATACCATACCCAAATAAAACTCTGTGGAACATCTGAGAACTGGTATTTTCCCAATTAATTCTGGGAATATCCTTAGTTCTCTCTGCTCTACCTTTTTTTTTTTTTTTTAATAAAAAGCGACCTTCAAATGCAAAACCCAAGTGTGTCCATCACATCCAAAGATGACCCACACAGCAATGGATGTCCTTGTCAAGCACTAACAATAGATCCCACGTTACCTGCAGCATGGACTACTAGTCCCAGTGTTGTGGTGATTTTGGAGTTGCCTGATCTTGCAGCTTCTGGATCTGAAACAATCATGGGAAAAGTTAAAATAAAGGGATCAAATACATAAATGATGCTGGAAGAATGAGAAATTAATTCCATAAGCTGCACTTGGCTGACAGCAATGGTATACTCATGTCAAACATGAGGAGATACTCACTAAGAACATTTCCTTTAAATTTGTTTGGGATTGACCAGTACTAAACACACTCAAAGAGAGTCACGTTTTACATCATACCTCCATTCTGGCCTACAGAATTTTTCTAATTTAGACAAAGTAATATCTAGCCACTTGGGAGATAACAAAACTGCAAGACATCACTTCAAGAGAAAAGTGTTTTTCTCCAGCAGCTTTAAAAAAACATTACAAAACCACTACATTTCCAGTGACAGAGGTACAGGCTAGTTAAAACTTTACTTAATATCCTATTTTATAGTGTGTATATCTAACACAGACACAATAAAATTTTCTTTTGGTATTTGCTATGATCAGAAACATAGAAAAGGATTATAACCTGTACAAACCAAGCATTCTTCTGACAGTTGCTCACCTGCGTCTTCCTGACATCCTTACTGTCCTTGTTTCCTTCTAAAAGCTTTGAAAATCAGCTAGCCATGGCTGTGGTTCCATTTACACTTCTTCAGGAGCACAAGGGTGACACAGCCCCTGCACTGGTCTTCCATCTGTCCCACCACACTAACCCCATACAAGCATTTGCACAGCTACACTGTGAACTGCCAAGAATCCCACCAAAACATATCACCCCTCTCCTCTGTGTGTTTTACTTCTCCTTTAAGATCAATTCCTTAATTTTTGAGGGCCAAATTCCACCATTAGAGGCAATTATGTGGGAGAAAATGAGCAGCTAAAGGCAATAAAATATCTTCTCAAATGACAGAACACCTTTGGTGTATTTCAAGTGTATTAAGCCTCAGGCAGTAAACAAAGGCAACTGTAGTCTTGCAAGAAGTTGACAAACCTTTAGACAAAGCAGGAGATATTTTAAAGTAAGTCAAAGTGAAGCTCTAGATTAGTGTGGGAGGTCCAGCTGTGCAGTTACAGTAAAGGACCAGAGCTTACCTCTAATCCTTTCTGCATTCTTACTTAAGATAACCTGTTCTTTGCAAAGTTTACCTATATGTATGACAATTATGTAGGAAAACCCAAATGAATATAAGACTAACCTGAAGTTTTTTGGAAAGTCAAAGAAATCCCCTATGGGTGATACTGTAAAACAGACAATAACTCAAGTGTCAAGTCACCCTTCACCCCCACACCATATGTGCTCATACTGTTATTTCATGTTAGAGAAGCAAGCTCTCAAACTATGCTGAATTTCAGGATACAGTTCCAGCATAAACATTTCACATGGACCCTGATTTATGTTTGTAAAGCACCTACTGAAACACTCTGGACAAATTAAATCTGGTAGCACTCACAAAAAAAAATAAATCACAACATGGTAATTAAAATGAATTAACAAATCTAATTCAATCTTACTGAATCTTTACTTACCATCTGTAGAGTGCACATGAGAGCTGCCTATCTGATCCACCAAAAGCATGAAGACAAAGCCAAGGACAAGGGATACACCGATGTAGGCATGCAACCTGGAATGGTCGTGGCCATGCTCAGGTACAACCGCGACTTTTGCTACCTTCTCAGACTCAATCACTCGCTGCATCTCGCTCGCCGGGTGATGCTTCCCTGTGACAGGCAAGCAAACAGATTAGGAGATGGGACTAAACATGACACGGCCACCTTTTTCCTCCTTTGCTGAAAGCCTTCCTTACACTTTCTTGGACAATACAGAAGTCCTTATTTAAGGTCTTTCTTTTTTCTGGTTGGTCTCTCCTCATACATCTTCAGCGTGGAAAAGCAAGTAAAGCATTAACACATGATAAGCTAGGCTACTTTGTTTAAATGCTGCACTTTAAATACAAATTAATTGATAAAAATTGCTGTATAATTCCCTTTTAATTGAAGTTGCCAATTTTGTCAATATTCAGTGATACTCTCAAGCAGTTACTTCATAATCTTCATTTAAGTGAGAAAATAAAAGCTTGTCCATGCCCTCCCCACAACATTTACTTCATCTCACTGAGGTACCCTGAAATCAGACGAGCTCCAAATGAGTCTAAAATCTAAGAATGGAAAAGATGATGTCTTGTGCTGGTTTTAAAAGTTAACCAGCAGGGGGAATGAACCCAACTCAAAGGAGAGATTATAAGTCAGAATAACAATTTATTAAAATAATACAGTAAGTACAATAATACAAACAAACAATTGGTCTCAACCCACAAAAACCCAAATGTGTAACCCAGTACCCTGGGGCCTGAACAAAGTGGTGTTCCTTGGGCCCTGTTTGAGTCCAAAGTAAAGGGAGAGGGGAAGAACCTGCTGGTGGGAGAGCTGCTGCAGTCTGGCCAGAACTGGTGATCGCAGTCCAGTGGTGGTCTAAGTCTGGTTGAGAGCGATGAGATGCAGCCGTCCTCTGGATCCCACGAGTGGATTGAAAAATGTTCCAAAACTCCAAGATTATATATCCTCCAGTTCAGGCAGGAATGCTTGGTACTCCCCTCAGGGTGGGGAGTTTCACAAAGGGTGTGAGGACAGAAACATCCTCCTATCTCACAGGCCTCTTAACACCTAGTTTATAGCCTG